ACGTGGAACAAGGCAAACCCGTGCAGCAGGGTGACTTAAGTGCCCCACGACGAAGGCATTGCAGAAAAACGGCTATTGGCGGCTTTTCCAACTGCCTCTTGCCAAAAGCTAACACCTTCGTGGGGGCCGAAAGTATTGATCAAGAACTTACGTACCACAGGCTGAAATCCTATCGACTCATTTAATCTTTTCAGCCATCCGAGGAGGGGGACACTGTTATTTTCTCCATTTTACACGGCGGGAGAAGCAACGTGCCCACAGCCCGCAGCTCAAAGCGGCCGACTGACTCTGTTCGAGCCCTCGACCTGCTGAGGACGGGAGGGGACTCACCAGCCAGCGCCCCCACCCCGCAGCCATGGGAACTGCAGGACCCCAAGCCGGGTTTCCGGTTGTCTCCCTGCCTCAGTTTCCCCACCTGTAAACTGGAGGGACTGGCAGGCACCCCTCATCAGGGTTGTCGGAGGAATTCATCGGGCGTGCATGCAAAAGGGCAAAAACGGGAGCTATTATTATTTTCTGGTCATCGTTGTTGTTGGTCTTTCTCCGGCTGTTAAAGAAGGCAATTGGACTGCGTAGAGGATGCAGTCAATGAGCCCAGAGATGCCGAAAAGGACGAAAGACTTGGTCCTGGGGACATCTGAGCCCCCACGCCCTGAGGATATGGGATCTGGCTTGACCTAAAAACCTGAGCTGCCTCCTCCCCACCTACCCCTCCCGCTGGCCTCATTCTGCTTCGCACAAAGGCAGCCCGAGTGGAACACAACCCCAGTCTTTCCCAAACTCTTGCTACTGTGGCTCTTTCCTTTGGGGGCTTAAGTGAGAGAGGCCATTCTGTCCAGCTCGGGCGGTCGTAGTTCCAAGTCCTGGTGTGGCAGAGCCCGCCAGCTGCCCACCTGGAACCCACTCTCCCTCTCTTCCTTGAGACCAGAAGCCTGATGTTCTCTCTGGGGCAGCAATATGCCAGGGAAAAGACTACGCATCCCAGCGTCCCTTGCAGCTAGAGTGGTCACATGACTAAGAGCCAGCCAATCAGCTATATGTGAAAGTCACAGGATGGGACTTTGGGGGAGGCTTCCTTAAAAAGGGACGCAATCCATTAAGTGGTATGGGGCTGTTTTTGCCCTTTGTCCCCTTCTTTCTGCTTCCTGCCTGGAAGATGGATGAGGCAGCTGCTGCTCCAGCAGCCATCTTGGACCACGAGGTGATTGAGAGGATGGAAGCCCCAAGCTGAGAATGATGGAGCAGAAAGAGCTGTGTCCCTGAAGACACGTGGAGCCACCATTGCAGCTCTGAACAGTCTGCTAATGGGCGCTTTTGATGTGAGAGAGAAATAATCTTCTCTCCGTGTAAGCTACTCTTACACATGCCAGTTTCTCTATCACATATGTTAGGCTCTTCTCTCTTTGTTTTTTTGTATTTTTTATGTTATTTCTGGTCTCTCTTACTAGCCTCTGAAGAGAAATTCTAACCAATATACTGAAGCTCTAACCCTATCTATGTCACTGACTCTTATGTGACTTGGAGGGGTGGGGAGAATATGGATGCCATTTCTCCTTTTGGGGCTGGATAGTGTTGGGGTTAACAGTATGGGCTCAAATCCACCCTCACTTCCTAGCTGTGCCATTGCCCAGAAATCTCGTACTGATGCCGCTGATTTAGGTAATGGCTTTGAAACTCTGTGGAGCTCTCTGAGCAGCCCCTCAGGTGGGGCGGAGTCAGTGGCCACGACTTTTGGGTTATATCTTTGGTTCATTGGCGAGAATGGGTCGCAGGGCCACCTGTAGCTGCAAAGCAGTCTGGGAAAGTGATTACTTGACATTTTCAGCTCCTTTCCTGGGAGGCATTTCCCACCACCATGGAAGAGGAGAGGGGAGTGGCTGCTGACGAGCTATCCACAGGGTCCACCACACTCTCTTCCCTCAAAATAGAAATTTATTGAGCATCTGACTCAGGATGAACCCTCTACTTCAATCGGACCAGTTTCTCTTTTATTTTATATATTGGTCTCCTCTGTCACTCGTTTGCAAAAACTTATCTATTTCATTGGCATTTTCAAAGAGCCAGCTTTAGGTTTTATCGACTAACTCTATTTTTGTTTTGTATTTCATCTATTTCTGCTTTTACCTTTCTTAATTCCTTACCTTTTTCCTTTAGTTTATTTTGTGGGCTTTTTCTAGTTTCTTGAGTGGAAAGCTGGTTTTGCTCATCTTCAGATCTTTTCTTTCCCTACTTTCAATGCGTCTAAGCCTTTAAGGCTATTATTCTCCCTTCAAGTGCAGCTTTGGCCATATCCCGCAGATTTCTATACATGGTGTTTTCATTTTCCTTTGATTCTGGTTGGTATTTTGCATTTTCATTGCCTCTGTAATCCAAGCATTATTTAAATTTAAGGAATTTTTTTTTTCAAGTGTGTAGACATATCGGGGGAGAGAAGGCTATAGCTTTTTTTTGAATTGATATCTACTTTGGTTGCATTGCTATTTAAAATAATACATTGGCCTGCCACATAAGCTTGCATTTGAAGAAAAGGGCTCTGAGGCTAATGAAACTGAGGCTGGGTACCTGAGGGTTACAGTAAATATTCAATAAGATTACCTTTCAACCTTGTTATGAAAAGAAGTTGATCTTGTGGATTTGCTATTTTCCTGTTCAACCTGAGGGGTGACTCAAGAGTCACAAGGGTTTAAGAGCTTGTTTCACAGAAAAAAGAGAACGCCTTCAAGGAAGTCACCATCAACAGACAACCAGCCCCCAGCTGCCCTTGACGCCCAGAAGTCAGACTGCCCGGGGACTTACCAGGAGTGAGAGAAACATGGATTATGCCTTTGTTTCTCAGAAACTCCTCCTGCCACACCCCTTAGCTTTATAAAACCCCCTGCTTTCTTCTCTTGTTAAGGCAGGTTGGAGAGAAACCATGCTGCCACCTTCTCGTCTTGGCCAATCCAAATAAACTTCTTGCCATCTGCAAGCGCTGATGTCTCAGTGTTTGGCTCACTGGGCATTGGGCACACAAACTTGAGATTAAGAGGTTTGGTATCAAAATGGTTTGGAAAACTCTAGTCTACTCTAAATCCAAACCTTGTTACCGAAGGTCTAGTCAATCCAAGGCAAATATAGGATTATAACCCAGCTTTTATAACCTTTCACCACCCATCAATCCCAACTCAACATGGCCATGCCAAGGAAGGCTCTATGTTGAAAGTTTCTGGGAAATCTCTCTTTCTACCCCAAGCCTGGAATTTGCCATCACCACTGCTGACCAACACCAAGAGTCTCTCTCTGGTAGGGTACCTGGGCTGGGTGGGGCCTGTGGCTCAGACTCTGCTAGTGAGAGGAATTAGAAGACTCATTCTCTCTGAGTCCCACCCCTCCGCTCTCCACCCCTCACCCACACCCCTGCTCCATTTGCATTCATTTATTCCCAGGGCCTTTTCTGTGGCCAGAGGAGGAGGGAGATATTTTTAAGGTTGTGCAGATCATGTTTGCGAGAGACCCAGGCTAGGGGGGAAATCCCAGGACAGTGGAGGACACACAGGGGCATCTGTGGTTAAATGGATGAGGGCCAGAAGTGCTGGAACTCTTCTTGAGAAATTTGGTCATTCCCTGTCCTATGTACAAGCAACTTTGCTTCAGGGCTCCAGGGATGGCATGAGGGGCTGCGTAGGGGTGGGCCACGTCCCACAGCTGTTTGGTGCCCCAGGGAGGGCACCACTTGACCCACTGGAATCAGGACCTCAGATGTAAGCTGGGGAGACGTGGGAGGGTCCAGGCCCTGACATTAGGCAGTGGGGGCTTGCAGCACTGTGATTTGGGTGTCCCTGTGCATGCTCGCACCCAGACTGAGAATAGCCTTGGGTGGGAAATGAAGCCAACGTGGCCGCTAGGAAACGGCAGGGCTGGCGGTCGGGGAAGGAGAGGCTGACACACAGGTGTGTTAACCAGGATGTTTATGGCCTCTGACGCTCCGACAGCTCAGCCAAGCAGTAGGGCCCTGTCATCTCTAAGTCTAGCGAGGAAGCAGGAGCACAGCAGACCACGGTCCAGCATCCTCGCCGGAAGCCAGTGGTCCTCCACTCGGGAGGAGGAGACGGGGAGGAGGGCGTGAAGAGCTCGTCTCTCTGGAGGGCTCCGGGGCACGCTGCTGCTCCAGGGCTGTGGGGAGGATGGGGCAGAGGGGCGGGGGAGGCCGTCAGGCAGGTGGAGGACCAACTCCCCAGTACCCCCACCCCTTCTGCTCCCCCACCCACCCCCGGCCTCCAGGCGGGCCCACCCGCCCCACGCTCAGCCTGTGCCAGGGTCAGGATCAGGAAGCTGGCGTTCGTCCTCACGCGAGGGAGGGAGCTGGACTGTGAGAAGAGAGACAGGGTGAAAAGGAATTCCGAGGGGTCTTCGGGGGCGGCCTGCTGTCATTGAACACCCCTCTCCCCCCGACGCTGACCCAGAAAACCAGGGTTTGATGAGTGAAGAGCTGAAGGACAGTATCTAGGGGTGGCTGGCAGTGATAGGGCCCCTGATTCTGGAAGCTTCAAGTCTGAGGGAGGAGGACACTGTCCTTGCCTCAGGGACATGACCTCTCAGATCTCTGGGGATGCTCAGTCTGATGGAGGAGACATGGTCCCTGACTCTGGGCACCCCCAGTCTGATGGAGGAGACATGGTCCCTGACTCTGGGAGCTCCCAGTCTGATGGAGGAGACATGGTCCCTGACTCTGGGAGCTCCCAGTCTGATGGAGGAGACATGGTCCCTGACTCTGGGAGCTCCCAGTCTGATGGAGGAGACATGGTCCCTGACTCTGGGAGCCCCCAGTCTGATGGAGGAGACATGGTCCCTGACTCTGGGCACCCCCAGTCTGATGGAGGAGACATGGTCCCTGACTCTGGGAGCTCCCAGTCTGATGGAGGAGACATGGTCCCTGACTCTGGGAGCTCCCAGTCTGGTGGAGGAGACATGGTCCCTGACTCTGGGAGCTCCCAGTCTGGTGGAGGAGACATGGTCCCTGACTCTGGGAGCTCCCAGTCTGATGGAGGAGACATGGTCCCTGACTCTGGGAGCTCCCAGTCTGGTGGAGGAGACATGGTCCCTGACTCTGGGAGCTCCCAGTCTGATGGAGGAGACATGGTCCCTGACTCTGGGAGTTCCCAGTCTGATGGAGGAGACATGGTCCCTGACTCTGGGAGTTCCCAGTCTGGTGGAGGAGACATGGTCCCTGACTCTGGGAGCTCCCAATCTGGTGGAGGAGACATGGTCCCTGACTCTGGGAGCTCCCAGTCTGGTGGAGGAGACACAATTCCCACCACCTAGAAACCTTCATCCTATTGGAGGAGATTGTCTCTATTTCAATTTGAGAGAGAAATTACAGCCTCTGATGGTAGAAATTCTGTCCTCACTCTTACTGGGATGCACCCCCATTGTCTGGGATGACAGTGTGAAGAGAGGGGAGTGATCCACCCTCACTCTATACCTCTAGTCTGATGGGGGAGGTCAGCTCCCCTCGTTAGCCCATTCCCCCAATATGGTAGCAGGGGGAAATCTCCTGCGTCTCAGGGTCCACCCATCTGCATGGAAAAGGATGCCCTACCCTCACACTATGTGTCCTTGTCTAAAATGTTCAGTCTGGTGGACCCCATATGGTCCCATCTTGGGACCCCCTAGTCAGATGGAGGAGGCAAGGCTGATGGGTAGGCATATCCATCCTTGATCTGTGTCTCCTGGGAGGAGGCAGAGCCCCTTGGGGAGCCCCTGTCTGAACCAAGGCGCACGCCCCCGGCCCCTGCATACTCACGGGCCACCTGCAGCTCCACTTCCAGCGTCTCGGTCTTTCCCTGCAGGGTGACCGTCTTGAGAGTGTAGCGGCCGGCGTCGGTGACATTCAGCTTCTGCACCAGCAGCGAGCAGTTGGGGAAGCCCGCCTCCCGGCCTGTGTGTGCCGGGCCTGCAATCCAGGTCCCCGATGGCAGCTGGCTCAGCAGCCGGTTGGGCTCGGAGGCGGGCCCGCGGTACCAGGCATAGACCAGCAGATCCTTGGGGTAGCCCAGGACGGTCAGTGTCACGTCCTGGCCCTCCATTGGCCTGGCAGGCACGGGCACGATGGTCATGGCCACAGCTGCCGCTGGGGAGAGCATGAGGGAGCTGGGTCAGCTGGACCTGCCTGGGGCATAGCGTCCCCCTGCCACCCCCAGCCAGCTTGTCTATGCCTCCCACCAACCGGCTGGTGCTCCCCTGTGCAGGCTGCTGGGGAGGAGACAGAGGAAGGAGGTGACTTGAGTGGCCGTGGACGTGGGTTTTGTGTCCTGACAATACTTGCCAGAGAGCTGTGTGTCCCCCTGTTAGACGGGGAGATCCCAGGGGCTGGGGGCCATCTCTCCCCCACTAGACTAGGAATTTCCAGCTGTCGGGGGCTATCTCTCTCATGAAACTGGAAGACCCTAGAGAGTCAAGTCATGTCTCCTCCATCAGATTGGAAATTTCCAAAATATAGGGGCAATGTCTCCCCCATCAGATTGGAAATTCTACAATATGGGGGCTGTTTCCCCCATCAGATTGGAAATTCTGGATAATTGGGCTGGGTCTTTCCAATCAGGCTTGGGACCTCAGAAGTTGGATGGGGGCGTGTTTAACCCATCAGACTGGAAATTCCTAGAAAGTAGGGGGCTGGTACTCCCCCATCAGATTGGGAGTACTCCAAAGGTGGTAACTGTGTCTCCCCCATTAGGCTAGGAATTCTCAAAAAAAAAATGGGGGGGCCATATCTCCTGAAGACCATGTCTCCTCCATCAGAACAGAAATCTCCCCAAGTATAGCCGGAGGCTCCTCCATCTGACTGGAAGCTCTCTAAGGGTGGGTGTCATGTCTCCTCCATCACTGCTTGGAAGTCCATGGAGTAGGAGGTGTTGCCTCTTCTCTCTGACTGGCAGCTCCTTGAGTAAGGGGGCCAGGCTTCCCTGTTCCAGGACCCTCTCTCCAAGGGCAGAGACGTATCTACACCATCGGATCAGAGTCTCCCCTGGGCGGGGGGGGTCTCCTTTTCCTCTGTCTCTCCCCTGACACCTGCCCCAGGGTTGCTGACAGTTCAGGAGGCCCTGGGGGGCGCTGTCCGCACTCTCTGCACATACCTGCAGACCTCGGACACCCCCCATGTCGGCCTGCACAGGCAGTGGGTCACCTGGTCCACTCCCGCGTCTCCTGCCAAGACCAGCTGCCACGGCCCCCGGTGGGGTGGGGCAGGAGGTACACTTACCTCTGGGCATGCCATTTCTGCTTTGGGTGAAAGAGTGTCCACCCTTTTAGGATGAGACCCAGCCTGTTAGTAGGAGGGAGGGTGGAGGAGGGGAGGGAAGGACTGATGCCTCTGTCCCCAGGGGATGGTGACCACTTGGGAAGAAACCAAGGCAGAGTTAATGAGGCCCTCATGTTCAAAGCCACCATCCCCAGGGGACCAGAGAATGTCCCCTGAGGATCCTGACGGCTCTGAAAACACCAGCTGTGTCTGCACTGCCCCCGCCCCTGGGTCGTTCAAGGACAGAGGCAAGACAATGCTTTCCTGGCTGTGTTTTTCCACTTGCCAAAAATTGGCTGTGGTTTCCCGCGTATGTGTGCACTCGTGTGTGCGCAGGGACACGCCGTCATCCGGGCCAGATAACCGGGTAATCTAGTGGGTGGCACAGAAGCTCAGCTGTCTGCGTGGCAAGGAACGGGTCAAGCCCCTGGGCAGCTGGTGACCAAATTTAGAACAGGGGCACCCACGTGGAGGACCATCTCAACGCTCTCCCACTCTGCTGCCACACGACGTGGGACACGGGACCCGTTTCTCACTCTGCCACCCCTCAAGGAAGAGAGTCTGATTTGTTGTTTGTTTTCCAGGTGACATGGTATGGACTGTCTCCCTTTGCCACCCGGATGAAGAGGGGTCCACCCAATACGCCATTGGCCCTTGGCCGATCAATGGATCGAGAATCTTTGACCTTCCCCTTATCTGTTGGGCAGAGGGTGACCTAACTGGTGATGGAGCAGCCAAACCATCACGGTCCGACTGGTCCTCCAAGGGGAGGGGGTGGTGGCCAGGGTCGGGGCAACTCACCAGAGAGCTTGACCACCACTGAGGCGGACCCAGAAAGCAGGGTCTTGGGGTTCTTAGCAATACACGTGTACGTGCCCTCCTGGGCCGCCGTCATGCTGCTGATGTTTAGGTGGTCTTGCCCGTTCTTTAGGGCCCGCCCGTTGAAGGCCCACATGTACTCGGGCTCCGGGCAGGAGCGGGACGCGCACCATAGGGTGAGGGACGTGTTGAAGTCCACTTTGATGGTGCAGCCCGTGCGGGTGGTGGAATCCTGGAGGATGGCCACGCGTTCTGGGCCAACTGTGGGGCAGGAGGGAGAGAAGCGGGGTGGTCGAGGGAGAGGAGAGGCGAGGTGGGGGGGAACCCCGGGCTTTCTCTCCATCAGGCTGGGGGCCCTGAGAACATCTGGACCCAGCAGAGGGAGAGACAGCTCTGGCCTTTTCGAATCCCACATGGATCTCTAACTCGATCTAAGATCTTGAGAGTCACTTTCCCTTCTCACGGGATCTGTTTTTCTCTTCTGCAAAAAGAGGGTGTTGGGCCAGACAAGACTTCAAGCTATTTTTGAAATCTATGGCCCCGTTAAAGAAAAAGAAAAAAGAAGTCTAAACGATTGGTTTCTAACAAGCTGTTCTAAGAGTCTAGAATTCTAGGGCTCCGAGAGTCTAGGTTCTAGGAGTCTAAGATTCTAGAAAGCTATGGTTCTAAGATTCTAGAGTTGAGCAGCTCTAAGATTTTAGAATTACATTCTAGGATTCTAAGAATCTCTGCTTCTAGAGCTCCTAGGATTCTCAGTCTAGAATTCGGTGCTTCCTAAAGCCAGAATTCTCTGGCGGGAGGATTCTAGGCTCTAAGTTTTTCTACGTTGCCAGCCCTCGCGTACCTCTGCTTTATTTCCCCGGCTTCCACACTGCGTGTCTGCTGCCCCTGGGAGTGACTCCACGCTTTGGTTAATGGCTTTTATTGTGTCTCCCCTCCCAGTCCGCCTCTCGCTTCCAGCCAGTCCCGTGTCCCTTCCCTGTAGGTTTTGCTTCAAACCGAAGGATTATTCCATTTCGAAGGTGGTCTTTAGTCCTTAGGAGATGGGCCCCGTGCATTTAAAGAGGGATCCCTGGTTCCTAACCCCAGCTCGCCTATGATTCCCTGGGTGCCCTTGGGTGACCTCTCCCGGCCTCAGTTTCCCCATCTATGAGGTTTGGGCGCTGAGTATCTGGCGGGACCAGGAGGACTCACAGTACACCGTCAGGTTGACGGGCTCGCTGCGGCTGACACTGACCGGGTTCCAGACCTCACACTGGTAGGCTCCGGCCTCTTCCCTACGGATGCCGTGCCGGGTCAGCACCCGGCCGTCGGGGGACAGGCCGAGGCGCACGGCGATGGGCAGTGCATTGCCGTTGAAGAACCAGCGGACCTCGGCGGGGCTGGGGCTGCTGCACGTCAGGCGCAGAGTGTCCCGTCGCTCCACCAGCGCCGTGTCATTGGCCATGACCACAGGCTGGGTCAGGATCTCTGTGGGGCAAGAGGCAGAGGGGAGGGGGCCGGGCACCACCTGCTCCCGGGGCCTCCCTCTCCCCAGGCCAGGGGCACAGCTGGATCGTGGCGGTGCCCTTGTACCCTCAGCCGGAGGGGCTAACGAATGGAATAGGAGGCAGGTCTAATCCTGGAAGCCACCCTGAAGGAGGTGACCCCTTTAATGTTATTTTAGGTCTTTTGGAGGATGGTTTCAAAATATTTTAGTTGTTTTTTTTTAAGAGGGATGGGAAGGGAGGTGGAACAGCCCAATTGGGGTCGAGGGGGTTTCAGGGGGTTCTCTCACCATAGACCTGCAGGTGTCCGTAGCCCACCTCCGTCTGGAACTGCCTGTTGAGAGTCTGCAGGATGTAGGTGCCCGAGTGCCCGGGCACGACGCCCCAGATGTCCAGGCTGCCGTCGGGGCGCACAGCCTCCCGTCCCGAGTGGGCCGGGCCGGGGGTCTCGTCACCCGTGCTGACGATGTAGCTGACCACCAGGTAAGTCAGGCTGAGCGTGGGCCCCGCGTACCAGTTGTAAGCAAGCAGCTCCCCCGCGAGCCCCTGGACAGCCAGGGTGACGTTGTCGCCCTCGGCGGGCTTGGCGGGCTGGGGGGTGATGGAGATCTCGGCCCCTGCGCTCAGGAACGTGGCTGAGGACAAGGAGCCAGAGTGGGTGGGATGAGTAGGGCCTGACTGCTGCCCCCACTGGTGGAGGGGAATACGTGGGCCCCTGGCATACGTGTTCCTGGTATACAGTAAGTTCTCAATACATGTTAGCCAGGTGCAGGGTCTCAGTCTGGGGAGGGCAGGGGGTGTTCCAAGGGTCAAATCAGTGGGCTGTGCCAAAGATCTACATAAGGCCTTGCACGTAAGGTCCCGTGGGACCTCGGGATTTCGTGGGACCTGGAGGGTTTTCTGTGTGTTATAGTCACCAATCGACGCTCACAGAGCAGGCTGGCCCGTCCAGCCCCTGAGCCCGGCTCCCAGTCCAGTGCTCCTCCTCGGCCCCCGCAGCTCGACCACAGCAGTGAGGAGCATCATGACTAAGACACCCTACCCCTTTTCTTTGCAACCCCACAGATGAGCCCCAAACCTGATGAGCTGGTCGGGGCTGCCGGGGTTGACTCGAGTGTGGTTGCCTAGAATGGGTGGCCGTGGCCGCGCTCACGTAAGAAGCACTTACATGCCTGGCCCAGTTTCCGGTACTTTCCAGGCTGACAGAGCACCGCCGGGAGTGAGGGCTCTGGGGCTAGCCCTCAGCCCTGCCACTTTCTGGCTGTGTGACCCAGGCCAGAGACTTCACCTCTCTGGGCCTCAGGTTTCTCGTCTATGAAGTGGGGGTCGGGAGTGGTGGGTGACACACAGAGAGCACTAAGGCCGGCTCCCGGGGCACAGGAAGAGCTGCTTATTACTGGCTTTCCGACAGCCGTGGGGGTTCGGCCCATTTCATAGATGAGGAAACTGAGGCTGAGAAGGGGGAGGTCAAGACGTGGCCCTAGGCCACATCCTCAGGGAGGGGGAGAGCTGCTGGTCAGAATGAAGGAGCAGCAGTGGCTCCCTCGCCCCAGCCCACACCCTGGTCTTAGAAATCTCTGCGGTCTACCCCACAGAACTTTCTGGAAGGCTGTCCCCAGCCCGACACACGCTGGTACCTCTTGCAGGAGCAAACGATGTCAGCGTGAGACACATCTGCCCTCTCTACACAGCCTGCTGGACCTCTGGCTCACACCTTCCCTCCCCGGGCTGGGGGGTCCCCCTTCCCTGCGGCCATGGGGGGCTGAGGTTCCCAGGGGGGCACCATTCTCGCTCACCGCTGAGGAGGAGCCAGCCGCACCGGGTCAGTGCCATCTTTCGCCCCAAGCCCGGGTCTCGGGGACAGCGGCGTTGGCGTCCCGACGCTCCGAGGCGCTCCCTGGTCGGGACCCGGCTCTGTCTGGCGCGGGAACTGAGAGGGTTCAGCGATCTGGAGCGGGGGGAGATCACCTGAATTTGGAGGGATCGGGTCACCGAGGATCTGGGGCCCAGAGCGGGTGTGGCAGGCACGGGCCAGGGGCCACGACCCGGTCAGGCCTCCTGGGGCGCTGCCTAACCTTCTTTGTGCCGAGGGCCCAGGTTTGGTACCAGGAGGAGAACCAGGTCGCGGGGGAGGAGGGAGGAGGGCGGGGGGAGGTTCGAGGGCTTGGGCCCCCTGGTCAGCTTGGGGTCACGGAGGAATAAAACCCATAAGCAACCATCGCCCTTTCCCAGCCTCAACGAGGGGGGTGACCTTCGGGTGTCATCTCCATGGACGTCCTGTGAGGTGGGCACTGTCAGAACCCCCGTTCGCAGATGGGGAAACTGAGGCACCAGCAGGAGCTCTGACTTGCCCGAGTTCCTGCAGTGGGAGGGGATCCCCAGACCTGTTTCCAGAGCCACAGGGAAGGGAAGGAGGCAGGGGCTGCACGCCTTCATCGGGCTCCGCTCCTTGTTGGCCCCGTGCACCGGCCAAGAAAGCCACGATCTCTGTCGTGCCCTCTCAAGGCCTCGTTTCTCCCGTCTGCCAAATGGGCGCGTGCGAACAGTTCGCGGCCAGAGGGAGTCCAGCGTGGACCTTGGCTCTGCACTGCCCCGCAGTGGGGCCGGGGACGGCTCCTTGCTGAGTCTCCATTCACTGCTCTGGAGAACCCAGATGGTGTAGACCTACCCTGGGTCGTGAGGCAGGGGGATGCCACGTGTTAGGAACCCAGACAGCGCCGGGCAGAGCTGGGCCCCAAAAGCCCGGCCTGGTGGGTGTTACTCTTGTTAAAAGTGAAAGCACCGGACCGCGCTCCACTGTTCCTTACTTCCGTGACCCTGGGCAAGGGTCGGAGCCCGCTGGGCCACCGTTTCCTCATTTGCGAAATGGAAACGATGGGGGTACCCACCTCGTGGGGCTGTTGTAAGGCTTAAATGAGTAACTTGTGTGACATTCTTACAACAATGCCTGGCACGGAGTGAAGGCTCTGTAAGTCACTCATTCATCTATTCAACAAGTAGGGAATGAGCATCTACTACCTGCCAGGTGCGGTTCTCGGGGCTGGTAAATAAAATCCGTGCTCTTGAGGGGCTGACAGCTGACATTCAGAGGGAGATAAATACTGTTGGAGGGAAAAAATAAAGCCAGGAAGGGCGTTTGGGAATTTTAAATTGGGGGTGGGGGAGGGCCTCAGGGGAGGCGAGGGGGGCTCTGGGTGAACAATGGTCCTGACAGACGTGTGATTCTCGCCTTCTTACTGGTTTCTGGGTCCTGGTCCCTGTGAGGCCCTGGCAGCCTGCTTCTGGGCAGGAAGCCATAGCTGTGGCTCACCTGTCCTCGTTTGCTCCTCAGCACCGTGTCCTGAGCTGCCCTGGCAGGGCGGGGCTCTGAGCGGGGGTGGTGAGGAGGGGCTCAGGTGGCCTGGGGCTTGCTGCTCCCCACACCCCGCTTTCGACCTCACCTCACTCTCCTCCATCCTGGCCCAGCCCTCCCCTGGGAGCCCTGGGACCTTGCCCAGTGTCAGCAGGATGCCACCCCGGATGGCCCTGCTCAATCACCTCGTCCCAAACTGACCTGGGCATCTTCCCCCAGCCCCGCTCCTCCTCCTGGTCCTCTTATCAGGGATGGCACCACCATCCACCCGTCACTGAGACTGAGAGACCCAGGCCTCGTCCCCGACTGACGCCTCCCCGGCTCCCAGCACACAGCACCCAGTGGCGTCTGCCTCTTAGCTGTCTCTTCTGCGAGTGCCTTTCTCTCCCTCCCTGGGGCCCCCACCGTGGTCCAGGTGCCCCCCTGCCCCATGTCTAGATGCTCTCACAACTCCTCCTGGTCTCTGGCCCTGGTCTCGTCCCTCCGCCACTCATGGCATCCAGAACCTGCCATGGCTCCCAAGTGCCCTCAGGAGACAGCCCAGCTCCCCACAGTTGGCCCACGAGGCCCTGCCGGCTGGCCCGGCCTCAACGACTCCCTTTCCTCCTGGGAACCCTCGGCTCCAGTCATTCTGTCTCCCTTACGCTCACTCCGCCCAGCGTATCCCCTGCTCCCCTCTGCTCTGTTTCATCACCGGTCCAACAACTCCTCCTCCTTTAGGAAGCCCTCCTGGACTCTCAGGCTGGGTTCGACGTGCCCTGGGGTCCCCAGTCCCAGCCCTGGCCACCCTGGGTCCTCACTGGCAGGGAGTGGGTCTGTCTCCCCGTGACCATGAGTCCTGGGAGGGCAGCACCAGGGCATCTGTGGTCACCACCGTGTCCCCAGCACCGGGGCCCAGAGGGTGTTTGTGGAACTGGACACCGGGTGTGGATGACACAGAAAGAGGAGTCTCCAGGGAGGGCCTGTGATTTGCTGTCCGGCTGAGGAGCGGGCTGGGCTGGGGCTCCAAGGGGTGTAGGGGTGGGGGTGGGGGCAGATCCCGGCTCTTGTCCGGACCCCGAGGGGGCTCCACCCCCACAGTGTCACACTGTCCCTTCTCTGTTGTCCTTGCGCTTCCCCGTCCACCCCCATCCCTCCCGCCCCTCCTCTGGTGCTCCCCGATCCTGGGTCCCATCGACACCTCCAGTTCCTCAAGCACCTACTGTGCGCTGAGCGCTGTGCTCGGTGCTGGGTGACCACCGTGAATGGGACAAAACCCCCTGCCCCAGGGAGCTGGCCTTTCATTTGGGGAGACGGTCAATAGGCGCATGAACACAGACACGCACAGTATGACAGCAGGTGGACAATGCTGGGGGAAGATAAAGCAGGGGAGGAACGGAGGCCCCGGGGCGGCGACAGTGGAGTAGAGACTCAGGAAGGGAGCTGTGCTGACTCCGGGGGAAGAGTATTCCAGGAGAGGGAACAGAGAGTGCAGAGGCCCCGAGGCAGCCGTGTTTTGGTGAATTAGAGAAGGAGCAAAGGGGCCAGCGTGGCCGGAACAGAGTCAGCGAGGGCAGAGAGGGGAGAGGGGCGGGTCCAGCAGGGCCTCCTGGTCCTCGGAGGGCTGTGGCTTTTCCTCTGAGAGGGGAGCCAGGGGTGGGCCTCGCTCGAGCTGAGACTGGATGGGATCTGACAGTGTTAACAGGATCTCCTGGCCGCGGGTGGGGAACAGACGTGGGAAGGGAGGGTAGATGCTGGGCGGCTGTGAGGAGGCGGCTGCGATGGCTTACTGTGCTGCCCAGCACGGTCGCCGCGAGCCACTGGCGTGTCCGAACTGAGATGAGCTGTGAGGGAAAAACACACCAAATATTGAAGACTGACTGCAGCCCCCCAAAAAGAATGCAAAACAGGTCATTCATCTTTTCTATCAATTCCACGTTGAGACAGCATGTGTGGGGTTAGACACATTCCTTGCACCTGCTTCTCTTTACTTTTCTCCATGTGATTCTAGAACATTTGGAACTGTAGACACGGCTCCCATCACATTTTTACGGGCTGGCGCTGGGCCCGCAGGAGGGGGCGGTGGCTGGACCAGGGAGGAGAGAAGACCTTGGACGGGGGATGTATTTTACCAATGACGCTGCGATGCATTTTGACATTGTCGGCTTTACCTGTTTTCTCATCCAGCACCACCTCCCTCCCCGAGGACCCATTTTGCAGACGGGGAAACTGAGGCACGGGGCCATTGTCTGGGGAGGTAAGAGGGGGTGAGTCTTATCTTCTCTGCACAGCTAGCCGAGGGCAGGGGTCTCTGATCTTGTTTTGTCTGCTCTGTCCCCCACCGCCAGCCCTGTTATTTCACCAGCCACGTGGTTTGCCACTAGGGAGCAGCTCTTTCTGTCTCATTGCTAAGACCCTGCCCGCTACTGACCTAATGGGCATTTGTTAGATGGGAACCTTGGCCTGGGCCCCGTGGCTGAGACCTCGAAGCTGAGGGGCTGGCCAGAGGGAATTGCTTCCTGGGCTGAAGCAGGTTTGTGACCGACCCCCTCCCCGCCCCCCACCACCACCCTGACCTTTATCTCGCTGGGCGAGGCCAAGGGTGCTGCAGTATTTACTCATGGGATCAGCAGGGTGTGGCTTCCTGTGGCAGTGTGGCCAGCCCTGGGCTCGGCCCTGGGAAGGCTGTTCCTGGGGAGAAAGTACCCCGTGTCCCCTTAATGCCTCACCCTGGGAAGAGGACCTGGGCTACCGTGCAGGAGGGGACGGCCGATCGGAGGAGGGAGCCTCAGACCTTCACACAGCCTGTTCCCTTTGCCTGGATACTCCACCCCACTCATTCATCTGGGTTTTTCCAAGCCATTGAGTCATTTAACAAATATTTGTTGAGCACTGACTATCTGCCAGGCTACGTTGGGGATACAGGCAACGTCCCTTCCCTGGTGGGGCTAAATCCTGTTGGAGGGAGATGAGCTGTAATCAAAAAACTGATATAGCAGGAGAGATAAGTGCTACCAAAACCCAAAACAGCGTGAGAGGAGAGGGAGGGACAGGGGCTTCAGCTGGGGAGGTCGAGGAGGGTCTTTCTGACAAGGTGACGTTGGGGCTGAGACCTGAAGGAGGCGACCCAGGGGGTGTGTGAACATCTGAGGGAGGAGTGTTTTTTGCAGAAGGCACAGCAAGTGCAAAGGCCCTGAGGCAGGAAGATCTTTGATGAGTGCGAGGACAGCAAGGAGGCTGGTGTGGCTGGAACCAAGTGAGGGAGGGGATGGGGGAGGAGGTGGTCGCAGAGGGGTCAGAGGACCCAGAGGGCAGGGCTTTGGAGACAAGATGACCCATTATAGACATTCGGGTGATAGTAAGGCCAAGCTTGGGGGAGCCAGTGAGGGAGAGAAAGGAAGGGTCTAGATAGGAGCTGCAGGGGCTGGGTTGGTGAGTGTGAGGGGCTGGGCTTTTTCTGGAAAGTGGTCCACGGGCAGGAATTGAAGGGAGCTAGGGAGACGGAGGGGCACAGAGAGAGTGCCAGGCTTCTTTGGGGACCCCAGGAGGTCCAGAAGGGTCTGGGAGGGGGGACCTGGCTAAGTGCCCTTCCTTCTCTGGGCCCCTTTTTATCCATCAGGAATATGCAAAGGGGTTAGACTTGGATTTAGAACTATGGTTCAAAACAATTCAAAACCTGCTTTGCCTTCGGGGAAACTGGCAAATTTCACACACTGGTCAAAAGCAGAGGGAAAAGCAGCGTCCTCTCCCGTCCCCACCGCTCAGCTTGGGGCCCCCCAAGCCCTCTCCCATATCATTTGAAAGCAAATTCCAGCCACCATATCACTGTGTTCATAGATGCTTCAGCCTGTCTTTCCCAAAGACGAGGACTCATTAAAAAAAGTACAATGTCATTATTTCACAGTTAATGAGAGTAAAATGAACAACCAAAAATTCCTCAGTATCTTCAAACACCCAGTGTTCAAATTCCCCATCATCCCAGAAATGTCATAAGCTCTTTCTCAGCTCCACTGGGGCATACAGTGGTCCCTCGGGATCCGGGGCATTGGCTCCAGGACCCCCTTCTATCAAGTCCCTTATAGAAAATGGCCTAGGATTTGCATATAACCTATACATCTCTTTCCGTATTCTTTTTTTTTTTTTGAGGAAGGTTAGCCCTGAGCTAACATCTGCTGCCAATCCTCCTCTTTTTGCTGAGGAAGACTGGCCCTGAGCTAACATCCGTGCCCATCTTCCTCTGCTTTATACATGGGACGCCTCCCACAGCATGGCTTTTGCCAAGGGGTGCCATGAAATTTTTGCTGTGACGGTGGACCGCTTTCCTACAGCTGAATCTCCCGTGACACCGCGCTGCAGACTCGTCCCCTCCTGCAGGCTCGGGCAAACGCCTGCACCCCGTCAATGGCATGGAGGGGTGGGGAGGGAGCACCTCCACCTCTCCTGCCCATCTACCCTGCGACCTGCCACTTTTCGGGAGAGTGAAGACCTTTGGTGCGTCAAGGAGCTGCAGTGCGGAGGGAAGGGTTTTCCCCATGAATCATAATCACTCTTGGTCGCGGCCCAGCACACTTCCTTCCACGGGCAGCCACTTCCTCGTTGGCGCTGCAGGCAGCCCTGAGAACCCGGGGTGGGGGGGCGGTGCTGGGCTGGACTGTAGGGAGCAGGTGGTGGTGGCAGGCAGTGACCCCTGCTGAGCAGAGTTTAGGACGATAGAGCAACGGAGCCTGGGGGGCCTCCTCCCAAGGATATTAGTCTCTTCCAAATTGGGCTGAACACTGGACCTGGTGCCCAAGATTCCACCATCAGCAACACTCGGGTGATAGTAAGGCGGAGCTTGATAGTAAGGCAGACCCCTCTGTTTGACTGCACAGACCCCACCATCCTCGTCAGCGTGGATTTCATCTCCTTCTTCCTTTCAGACTGGAACGAGCAGAGGAGAAAGTCTGGCTGTTGGAAAGACTTCGGTTCCTTTCCCAGTGGCCCATTTAGGCCCCGTGTGACCCGACCGGTCTTAGTCTCGGGTTCCTCATCTGTAAACCGGATGTAACCACAGAACTCCCCTCACGACACTGTTGTGAGGATGAAAGAAGTGAATAAATGCAAACTTCTGGTTTATCTTCCCGTCTCCGGTGCCCAGTTGAGTTCATTCAATGGAGCTTGGTATACAGTAGTTGCTCAATAAATGTCTGTCAATGGATGAATGGAGACTGTTAGTACAGGAAGGGGAGGATACGTATTATGAGAATCCGCATACATTCCCTGAGCCCCTGCCCTGTGCCTGCCCCATGCTGGGTGGTGGTGGGACCTGTCGGTGACCAAGACAGCCCGCGTCCTGCCCTCCTGGGGCTCAGGGTCCAGCGGGGAGAGAAACCCGTCTCCAGACAGTGATGACCCAGAGTGGGCAGGGCTGAGGTGGATGAAGCCAGAGGGGGACATGACCCAGCTTGAGGTCAGGGAGGGCTTCCTGGAGGAAGAGGTGTGTGAGCTGAGACCCGGAGGGTGGATGCGGGTGAGGGAGGTACAGTGAGGCATGCTCCAGGCAGAGAGAACAGAACGTGCAAGGGCCTGGCAGAAGTTCAGGCCAGTGGACCATAGACCACGGGGGGCAGGGGCGGGGGAGGGGGGACTGCTGAGAGACCCTCAGGAGCCAGACCTCTCAGGGTATTGAAGACTATGGTGAGGAGCCTGGACGTCAAGGGCACTAGGGAGCCATAGATGGTTTTGAGCAGGGAGAGGCAGCATGAGTCTGGGCTTCGGAAGCTCCCTTGGGCTGTCTTTTGGTGGGAGGATGGGAGGGGGTTGGAGAGCAGGTGGGAGGCTGGGGAGGCAGGGGGAGAAAAAGCCCAGCTGGGACCCAGGGCTGGGCTGTAGAGACCAGGCAAGGGGGAGCTCAAGAGACCTAGGCGGCGGGTTCCTGAGCCTGCCCCAGTGAGGCCGGGGCAGGGGGAGAGGCACCCACGGACACTCTGGGTGCCCCGAATGGTAACGACAGGGGCAGGTGCAGAGGCAGGTGCATGAGGCAGGTGCACGGAGCAGGTGCAGTGCGCAGCCCGGGCGCCTGCCGGCGGGTCTGCGCGGTCCTCTGCTGCCCCCTGCTGGCGCCGCGTTGACTCCCGTCCAGCCTGCGAGTCTGGTCAAAAGGTCGGACCGGAGAAGCCCAACCCCAACCAGGGATAAAAGATGACATTTCTGGGGCGACCACGCTGCAGGGGGCACTCACGTTCGCTGTCCCCACTCCCTTACCCCCGACAGGGGTCTCCAGCCGCCTTCTCCTGCCAACGCGGCTGAACCCAACTCAAGACTGGCCTCCCAAACTCTACCCTCTTTTTTCTTTTCTTTCTTTTTTTTTTCCCCCATTAATGGGAATTTCTTTAAAAATTTTTTTAAATTAATTTATTTTATCAAAAAAATTTTTTATTGAGATAACATTGGTTTATAACATATATAAATTTCGGGTGTAGATCATATATATTTCAGTTGCTGTGTGGATTACATCATGTTCACCACCCAAAGTCCAATTACAGCCCATCACCACACACGTGTGCTAATCACCCCTTTCCCCCTCCTCCCTTCCCCTCTGGGAACCACCAATCCAATCTCTGTTGCTATGTGTTTGTGCGTCATTGTTTCCATCTTCTACTTGTGAGTGAGATCATACGGTATTAGACACTCTCCCTCTGACTTATTTCACTCAGCATAATCCCCTCAAGGTCCATCCATGTTGTCACAAATGGCTGGATTTCATCATTTCTTATGGCTGAGTAGTATTCCGTTGTGTATAGACACCACATCTTCTTTATCCATTCATCCCTTGATGGGCACCTAGGTTGCTTCCAAGTCTTGGCTATTGTGGATAATGCTGCGATGAACATAGGGGTGCAGGTATCTTTATGCCTTTGTGTTTTCAAGTTCTTTGGAGAAATACAGAGCAGTGGGATAGCTGGATCATATGGTAGATCTATCCTTAATTTTCTGAGGAAACGCCATACTGTTTTTCGCAGTGGCTGCACCAGTTTACACTCCCACCAGCAGTGTATGAGGGTTCCCTTCCCGCCACATCCTCTCCAACATTTGTTGTTTCCTGTCTTGTTATTTATAGCCATTCTGATGTGAGGGAGGTGATATCTCATTGTAGTTTTGATTTGCGTTTCCCTGATAGTTAATCATGTTGAGCATCTTTTCATGTGCCTGTTGGCCATCTGTATATCTTCTTTGGAGAAACGTCTGTTCAGACCTTTTGCCCATTTTTTAAATTGGGTTGTTAGCTTTTTTGCTGTTGAGATGTGTGAATTCTTTACGTATTTTGGATATTAACCCCTTATCAGATATATGGTTTGCAAATATCTTCTCCCAATTGCTAGATTGTCTTTTCATCTTGTGATGGTTTTCTTTGCTGTGCAGAAGATTTTTAGTTTGATGTAGTCCCATTAGTTTATCTTTTCTATTGTTTCCCTTGCCTGGTCAGACATGGGACTTGAAAATATGCTGCTAAGAGAGACGTCAAAAAGCGTGCTGCCTATGTTTTCTTCTAGAAGTTTCATGGTTTCAGGTCTTACATTCAAGTCTGTAATGTATTCTGAGCTAATTTTTGTGCATGGTGTAAGATGACGGTCTCCTTTCATTCTTTGGCATGTGGCTGTCCGGTTTTCCCAACACCATTTACTGAGGAGACTTTCCTTTCTCCATTTTATGCTCTTGGATCTCTTGTTGAAAATTAACTGTCCATCGATGGGTGGGTTTTTTCTTGCTTTTTTACAAAACAGCTTTATTGAGATACAATTCACATACCATACAACTCAGCCATTGAAGTGCACAATTCACTGGTTTTTAGTATATTCACAGAGTTGTGCGGCCATCACCTCCACCAATTTTAGAGCCTATTCTTCATTCCTAAAAGAAACCCTGCATCTTTTGGCCGTCGCTCCTTAATTCCTCTCTCCAGCCCCCGGCAACCACGAATCTGCTTTCCGTCTCTATGAGAGTGCGGGCTCTGGTCTGAATCTTGGTGTGTCGATGGAGCTGTTCATACATATTTCGGTTCTCTCTAGTCTGGGTACCTGGTGGGATTGGACCCACCCAGCCCTCTTGACATCAGATTGTGCCATGTGACTTGCTTTGACCAATGAAACACGAGTGGGAGTGTCACGTCCCAGCCGAAGTCTTTAAAAGCCAGAGCTGGCTTTGCCCTGTTGCCTCCCTTTGCCCTGACAGTGACCGGCTCTGTCAGCCCGGCTCCTGAATGAGGAGATGTGAAGCAGAGCTCTCCTGACATTGGCCTGGAACTAGTCACCCGACCACACCCAGCTGCAAGGGAAGCTGGGAAATGTAGTTTTTTATGCAGGGCAGCCATATGCCTGGTTAAAAATCCTATTACTGAAAAAAAGGACAGGATGGATATTAGGGTTTGACAAGCAGTCGCTGGTATAGAGGAGAAGAAGGCAGGCTTGTGGGTCCTCCTCGTCTAAGTTGGGGATGCCTAACTGAGATGGACGTGTAGCATGAACAAGAAATAAACCTTTCGAGGTTTTAAGACACCAAGACTGTGGGGTTGTTTGTTACTGCAGCACAACCCAGCCCATCCTGACCACGACGTTGGCCCTTCCTTGTACTTGGTGTGTGACCCTGGGACAGTCACTTCTAAATGGGAGATGATAGTTCCAGGCTCCAAGGCTATTCTGAGAATTCAGGAAGTTCACATGTGCAAAGGCACAAAGAACAGCCTCTATTCACTGGAGCTCCTGTTATTATTACTATATCATCTTGTGCCGCACAACAACGTTTCAGTCAACGATGGATGGCATATACAACTGTGGCCCCAAAGGATCAGTACCACAGAGGCGTGCAGTGGGCTCTACCATCCAGCTTTGTGTAAGTACGCTCTATGACATTTGCACAACAAAATCGCCTAATGACGCATTTCTCAGAATATATCCCCATCATTAAGCAATGCATGACCGTATTCGAATCTGGTTTTGTCGTGGTGGAGGGAGAAGACCCCTTTGGCACCCCCATTTCCTAGGGCTGGAGTAGGAGGAGCCTATCTTAACGCGCTGGGGCTGCCATAACAAAATACCACACACTGGGTGTCTCAAACAACAGAAATTCATTTCTCACGGTTCTGGAGGCGGGAAGCCCAAGATCAAGGTCTCGGCAGGGCTGGTTTCTCCTGAGGCCTCTCTCTTCGGCTTTAAGACGGCTGCCTCCTCTTTGTGTCTTCCTGTGACTTCTTCCCCGTGCACGTGCGACCCTGGTGTCTCTTCCTCTTCTTATAAGGACATCAGTCCTATGGGATTAGGGCCCCACCTTTGAGCTCATTTAATCCCATTACCCCTTTAAGGGCCCTGCCTCTGAAGACAGACAGATGGGGGGCCAGACTTCAACAGACAACAGTGGAGGGACACAATTCAGTCTGTATCGGTCACAGCCGGTGTCAGGTGAGCTAGAAAGCGTGCCTCTCTCTAACCTGGCTCTGTGCTGCCCTCCTCGGCGTAAGCCCACATGGCTCCCGCCACCACATCTTTTCTCCAGCCCAAGGGGAGGGCGAACCAGAAGAAGGAGGATCCTTCCCCTTTAAGGGCATGACCTGAGGGTTGTGTCTATCACTTCTGCTCACACCCATTGGCCAGGAACCAGTCACATGACCATACCCAGCTGCAAAGGCAGCTGGGAAATGTAGTTTTTATGCTGGGTAGCCATATGGTTGGTTCAAAATCGTGTTACTAAGGAAAAGGAGAGAATGGATATTGGGGGTTGAACAGAGTCCCCCCCACCCTGCACTCTGCAGCCAGTGCTGGGGCTGAGCCCTGCCCATGTGGCTGGCCTGATTGACTTTCTCGGCAGGCAGGAGGTCAGAGGACCCTGGCCTGGGGTGTCCTGAGAGGTCTGGGGATGGCCAAATCCCTCACAGTGAGTATTTGCATCCTGAATTTCGAGAGAGGCAACTTCTCTTCCTGCCAATTCTTCCTTAGCCTCTCTAATAATTTCCTTTGGCTGCTGTAACAAATGGTCACGAACTGAGTGGCTTAAAACAACACGGATTTATTCTCTTACATGCTGGAGGTCAGAAGTCCCAAATAGGTCTCCCCGGGCCCACATCAAGGTGTCAGCCGGGCTGCATGGCTTTCTGGAGGTTCCCTGGGGACAATCTGTTTTCTTGCCTTCTCCAGCTTCTAGAAGCTTCTGCTCCTGGCCCCTTTCTGTCTTCAAAGCCAGCGAGGGCCAGTGGAATCTCTCTCACACCAGATCCCTCTGACTCTGTGCTGCCTCTGCTTCTGGTCCCTTCCTCCATCCACCCCGCCCCATCTCCCTCCCTTTCCCCTTTCCTTCCTCTGCTCTCTACCACCTTGGCCTCCTTGAACACACCAGGCACACCCCTACCCCAGGGCCTTTGCACTTGCCATTCTCTTTGCCCAGAATGCTCTCCCTGGATCCCCACATGGCTTCCTCCTCTCCTCCTTCAGGTCTTGGCTCATTGTCCCCTTCTCAGTGAGGCCTTCTCTGCCCTCCCTATTTAATAACCTCCATCCCCCAACACTCCCACCCACCTCCTCTCTTTATTTGCCCAGTGCACTTATCACTACACAACACACCACGAAGGTTAGTGATTTATTTCGTTTCCTGACTCTCTCTCCTGCCAGAGTGTCCGTCTGGGAGAGCAGGAGGTTTTGTCCATTTCCTTCCCCGGCTAAGCTGTGGGATCTAGAATAGTGTGTGGCCCACAGCCTCTTTGTTGCTGACTGAATGAATAAAGTAAGGGGTGGCAGACTGGGCCCGCATTTGGGAGCAGGGGTGGGGGGAGTAGAGAAGGGATGGATCTGCCCAAGAGGGGAAGGGGTCTGGCAGCCGGGGTCACTGGCGGACCTTGACCTCTGGGGCGTGTGTGGTGGGGGCGGGGGCTGCCTCGTCCCTGGAGAAGGGGCTCTGAGGGCAACCGGCAGAGTCGGGGTGGAGTGTTGTGGGCCAACAGTTGGGAGCCCAGCCAGGTGGGCGCCTGTGAGGCCCGGCTGGAGGCAGGCCCAAGACTACCCTCCCCGCCCCGAAATAGCTGGATGCGGGGCTTTGGGGCGGGGGCGGTAAGAGCTGGCTTTTTGCAGGCACGCGGCCCAGGCCAGGGTGCTGGCAGGACCAGTCTGAAGGGCGAGTCGCACACTCAGAGGGGGAGCGAGGAGCTGGGCCCGTCACGGTCTCCTGTCCCTCACCCAGGACGCCTGCCCAGTGCCACACTGAGTCTCTGGCCGGGTCCACCTTGTCAGCCCCACAGCCCCGATGGCCTGGTCCTGTTGGGTCTGCAGTGTCACTTTTCTGCAGGTACGAGGCCACCAGGGGATGGCCGAGGCTTTGCCTGGCCCGGGACCCCTTCAGGGGGCTGGCACCAGCTGGCAGTAAGGGGCAGGGTCGGGGTTCAGCAGGTCCTGGGGGGAGAGGGAGGGGAAAGAGAGAGAGGGATTGTTACTGCGAGGGGAGAGACGGAGAGGACCCAGGTAGAGACAGGGAGAGAAACACACACCGAGGGAATGGAAGATCCAGGTGGAAAGCGAGAGGGACACTCGGAAGGACCGACAAGCCAGACAAAGGGGTGGACGCAGAGGGACAGAGATGAAGAGACAGCAGAGACAGAGACACAGAAAGGGAGAGAGGATGAGAGAGACAAAGAAACAGAGATGTGAAGAGATGCAGAGAAAGAGAGAGAGAGAGAGAGGCGAGAGGACCTAGGGAGCCAGAGAGAGAGAGAGACCCCAGAGGGGAAGAGAGACCCACAGAGACAGGTGGACAGTGACAGACAGGGACACTGAGAGGGAGGCAGAGATCCAGGGGCAGACAGGAGGGGCGAAGCAGGGCTGAGACCCAGGCCCAGGAACGGGCCCCTGTGGTGTGATGGGGTTCAACTCGGGCCCTGACCTGCTGTGTGACCCTGGGCCCCCCCCTCTCTGGGCTTCGTTTCCTGCTGTGCAAATGCACAGCCTTGGCATCCCTTTACGAGGAGGAAAGTGCATCCCCAAGAGGGGAAAGGACTTGCCCAGGGTCCCTCAGCGAGGCTGGGATGGCTCCCCGGGGAGCTGCAGACCCCGAGGGGGGTCAGTGACGACCCCTCCCGCCCCGGCTCCAAGGGGTCCCCCACCCGCCCTCCCGCCTCCCAGCTCCACACCTGGTAGTGGTGGCTCTCTGGCTCCGGTGGTGGGGGCAGGGGGACGGCTGGGGGCTGTAAAGGAAAAACACAGGTGAGCCAGGCCCCTGGCACCCCGACAACCGCCAACCTTTGACCTTTGAGGTCAGGACAGACCCGCACTCCAAGTCCCCATGGTCCATCCCTGCCCGGGAGGCCTCTGGTCAAAGGGACTTAACCTCCCTGTGCCTCAGTTTTCTCTTCCGAGAAATGGGTCTGCGGGCGCTGCATTGTGGGAGGCGCGGCCCAGGGTCAGACAGTCACTCCATTATCACCGCACCTGCCGTCAACGCCTGTGGCTCTAAGCTTGTAGTCTCAGCTTCTTAAATTTCTCTTCTGATTTAATTCTTATTTTTATCCACCCTTGATATTATCCCCTGATGATAAGAGGAATATCTGCTCAATGCAGAACGTGCGGACACGGACAAGAGGGAAATTAAAGCCGAGATGCCTGCCGCCGCACCCAGACACAAAGGCTCTTCCTGGTGTGCTGGTCCCTTCCAGATCTTTTCCTGATGGTTTTTTGAAATAGAGAGCATCCTCGAGAGAGAGTCGGTTCCCAAACTGTGTGACAAGGCACCCTGGGGCGCCCCAGCCACCTCGGAGGGGAGGCCCAGGGTGGAAGTGGGATGTAGGGCAGAGGGCCGGGGGCTCACCGTGGCCATGTTCATGAGCCCCGTGTCACTGAGGGGGGACACCAGGAGGACCGGAGACGGCATCACTTCATAGATGTTGTTGTCACCTGAAGCAGAGGACAGGAACCGGCTGACAGGTGGCTCACCGGCCCACTCTGGCTGCTGTCAACATTCACTTATTCATTCAACTAACATTTGTGCAAAGCCCTCTTCTCGGCCAGCCCCATGCTGGGCACACAGCAGGGACTGAGGGGGCGCTGGCCCTGTCATCCTGGGGCTTGCCGTCCAGGGGGGAGACAGACCCATCCCCAGGTAGGGACGGCCCAGAGTGGGCAGGGCTGGGACGGGGGAGCCCAGGAGGCTGCTGGAGAGAGTCAGGGAGGGCTTTCTGGAGGAGGGGACATCTGAGACTGGAAGGAAGTGAGAGCTGTGCAAAAGCAGGAGTGGGTGCATCCAGGGGCCTGGCGGCGGGAGAGCCGGCCGCATTTGAGGAACCATAACTTGTCGTCTGGTCTGTCCGAATCTCGTATATATAAAAGTTTCGTTTCCCAGGGTGGGAGTGTTACGTGGGAGAGATGAAGCTGGGAAAGACAGTGGGGACTAGCGGACAGGGGGGCCCTCAAGAGCCGCGTTAAGGAGCCTGCACTTTGTCCTAAGGGCGCTGGGGAGCCATGGAGGGCCAGGGTCAGAGCTTTAGAAGCACCGTGCCCAGGGATGGGTGGGAGACCAGCCTGGGGGCTGAGAGATGGGCAGGCAGCTGGGTGTGGGGATCCAGCTGAGATGGAGCCCGGGGTGGGTTGTGGCCTGTTGGTGGACAAATGTCACCTGTGACTGGGGACGGGAGTGCCAGCCACTGAGAAAAGGAGGAACTGTAGGTTTGGGGTAAGCGCTGACATGCCCGCAATCTGTGGGCAAGGCCTGGGTGGGGCGGGAGATGGGGAGGCCCGGAGTGGGAGGCACCAGGGGGTCTGTGGCTTGTGGGGGGAAGAGGAGGGAGCCCCCGGGGAGGGGGCTGGGTAGTGAGACGGGGAGCGCGGGCTTACCAGGGTTACGACTGGGGCCCAGCTCCCGCTTCTCCGTTGTCGTCATCCTGGGGGCAGATGGAGGGGCCGACGTCAGGCGGGTGGAGAGAGACCGGAGCAGCTGAAAGCCCCTCAGACCCCAGAGCAAGAGATGGCCCCTGCCCTCCCATCTCCGCCTCTTCTCCCATCACGCCAGCCAGACGGCCCTTCCTCAGTTTCCCCGGCCGTCGCCTTACGCCGCCTTACGTTTCCCTGCCATCACCATTTACACAGACCATCCAGATTCTGCTCCATCCACCCGTTTCATGATTCCCTTCCTATTTCTCTTCAAGTCGGTTCTTTTGAACCCTTATTTTAAAAGGACAGAACAGCACTACAGCAAATTCGTTAATTCAGTAAATAAATATTTATGGAACCCCGACCGTGGGCATCGTTGAAGGCACTGGGGGCACAGCCGGGAACAAGGCCGACAAAGACCCCTGGGCTCCAGGAGCGGATGCTCTACTGGGGGGAGACAGAGAGAATTCGAATAAACGATGGGATGTTTATTCGAGCATCCCCGGGAAGGTGATGTTCAAGCAAAGGCCAGAAGCAGCCAAGGGGACCAGCCGTGCAGAAATCATGGAAGAGAATTCCAGACAGAGGGAACAGCCTGTGCAAAGGCCCTGAGGCAGGAGTGGGAATAGCAAGGAGAGGAGTGTGGCTGAGGCGGAGAGTGTGAGGGGGAGAGTGGGAAGAGGTGAGGTCAGGCAGGTGGAGGGGGCAGTAGACTGAGCCAGGTCTGGTGTCCACGGTGAGGACCGTGCCCTTGACTCGGAGGGACCTGAGCTGACTGATTTTCACAGGATCTCTCCGGCTGCTGAACAGGGAAAGACTGTGGTGGCAGGAGCTGAATCCGGAGACCCACCGGAAGCTGTTACATTGTAAATGGAAAGAGGACTCCTTCCTACAAGACATAAGCAGAAAGTCTCCGGGAAATTCAAGGAAAGTCAAACAATGGTTTCAATCTGTAACTCGATACTCTTCCGATTTTCTCTTGGCAAAAGCTGGCGAGTCTTCAAACCTCCTTACAGGCTGGCTAGGACCAGCTGGAGACTTTCGTTTGCCACAATCAGCATAATACCAAGAGAATAAAAAAAAGGAATTTTTGCATCAGGTGATTCAAAGACTTGAAAAATATCATAACCATTAAAAAAACCTTTCTATTTGGAAGTAATTCAAACTTATAGAAACATTGCCAAAATGGTACAAAGAACATCTGTATAATATTTACTCATTGTTTTTCTTGCCCATCGTTTTTATTCCATTTACTTTATCGTTTGCTGGCTCGCTCCTTCTTTCTTTCTCCCATGCATATGTATTATTATGATTATGATTATGATTATGATTATTGTTTCGTGTGTGAGGAAGATTGTCCCTAGCTAACATCTGTGCCCATCTTTCTCTATTTTACGTGGGACGCCGACACAGCATGGCTTGATGAGCGGTGCCAGGTCCGCGCCCAGGATCTGAACCCGTGAACCCTGGGTGGCTGAAGTGGAGCCCACGAACTGAACCATTGCACCACAGGGCCGGCCCCCATATTGTTTTCCCTGAACCGTGTGAGGGTAAGTTGTGCGCATCACGGCCCTTCACCCCTAAATACTCCCACAGATTTAAATACTTCCATTTTGTGTTTTTTACACCCCAGGGCCCAGAATGCCACAGCAGGTGGCCTCCGGCTCCATCCGTGCTCGAGAATCTTCGAGATTCTTGGAGAACCCCTGGCTGCAGTGGGAAGGAAGCTGGTCAGAGGGGCGGGACACATGGAGTCTAGCTCTGGCTCTGGAGCTTACAAGTCACTCAGGTCTGGGCTTCTATCCCGGGAACCCCTTGCCATTCACGGGCCAGTTCTATGCCATCTGGCAAATGACTTCATGTCTCTAAGCCTTAGTTTTTTCTAGAGACCATGGCAAACTATGGCCCGAGGGCCAAATCCACCCCAGCACCTCTTGTTGCACCACCTGTGAGCTAAGAAGGACGTCTACCAGGGATGGCTTACGTGCCTCCACTACCTTTGATATGACCATGGCAGACATTACTAATCAATCACAGCATCTTCTCCCACCGAACTTGGACGTGACCTCCAACTCCTTTCTCACCAAGCTCTCTAGTGCCTAGAACGGTGCCTGGCACATAGTAGGCCCTCAACCAAGATGTGTTGACTGCTTTACTGATCAGAATTGGGCTGGGAGGAGGAAGCTGTTTGCCACCCCTACAATAATAGAGCATGTCAGGAGAAAGACAAGGAGAATGATGAAGGTCAAGAAACCACCGCACAAGAGCTGAAGGAGGAGACAGGATTGCTGCCTTCATTTTCCGGGGATGATGGAGTGGCAGAAAAATTAGACATCTTTTTTGCAACAGGCTCCGAACCAAGGTCAGGAGAGAACGTTCTGAAGAGGCTGGTCTCATGAGGAAGGAATTTTTCTTGAGTGGACTGTCCCTTGGGGAAACAGAGCCCCCCAATCTCCCCCCACACAGAAGTGGGCACCATCTGATGGCTCTGCCTGCCCACCATCCACCCCACTTCTTTGGGAATAGCATCTGGCTTTCCTTTGGGGAATCCCTCCCCACTCTCAATCCCTTTGGTCATGAGGAGCTGGGTCTATTTCTAGCCCCGGGGCTGCACAAATAGCCCAAGTTTGGCCAATCAGAGAATCCCAGCACCCAGCCACAGTGATTGATCCATGTGAGGACATGTGATTTAAGTTAATCCAGGGAGAGGCAGCCCCTGGGCTTTTGTTGGAATGATCAGGAACAAGGTGTAGTCTTTCCTCTGCTGTGGTAAGCTGGTGGGATAGAAGCCTGGAGGCCCTGGGAGCTATCTTGTCATATCACAAGGGGAGAACCTGCCCAAGGATGAAGCCACCATAGAGAAAAGCAGAGTTGAGAGGTGCATGGAGGACTTTCTTGATAAAATCGAGTCCCTGGATCCAGCCATACCTGAAGCTCATGCAGGATCAAAAGAACTTCCTAATTTTTTTGTCAGCCAGGTCATGGTAGGGTTTCTGTCCCTTGAAATGCAGAATGCTGTCTAATACAGGACAGAAATATTCTTTTCATCTCAGGAGTTCCAAGATTTGATGAGATTGTGTATGAATCAGATGATGTGACTCGTGGAAGAATCAATCAAGGAGACCCAAGACAGGAGGGGGAGGAGAAAGAAGGGAAGGAGAGAGAGGCCTGGGGCCCCTGTACCTGTGGCTCTGGCTCCTCCAGCCTCTTGTCACCAGGATGTAGGCAATGATGCCAATGAAGAGGGACCCGGCAGCAAGAGATCCAATGATGATGGCGGCCATGATCCCAGCACTCATAGGCAGTTGTGTAATGGGCAGTTCCTGATGCTTTTCTGAGGGGTACGAAAGAGAGAGAGAGAGAGAGGACTATGTGATGTCTTGGGGGCCTTGGTGAGGAAGACTGGCTCTGAGCTAACACTTTTGTTGCCAATTTTCCTCTTTTTGCTTGAGGAAGACTGGCCCTGAGCTAACATCTATGCCCATCTTCCTCTATTTTGTATGTGGGACGCCTACCACAGCGTGGCTTGATGAGCGGTGTGTAGGTCCACACCCGGGATCCAAACCCGCAAACCCTGGGCCGCCAAAGCAGAGTGCACAAACTTAACCACTGCGCCCCCAGGCCCGCCCCTCAACATATCTTTTTTGAGGGGACACCATTCAACATACAACACCTCCCAGGCCTGGTTCCCTGTCGTCCTGGAGAGTCTTTGAGCTCCTCAGCATCCTTTGGTCTGTTCCTTTTCTGCTTAAATCAGCCAGAAGCAGCTTCTGCTGTGGCAGCAAGAACTCTTCCAATTTACACGATTAAGCATCCTCTTTTGAGGACTTGTTACATTTTCTGCTCCTTATGATAGACGGCGAGCTTGTAAAGATGGGGCCTGTCAGTCACTGCATTTTGCAAAGTTGACCTCAACAGAATCTCCCTCCCCACACGCTCCTCTGTGATGTGATCTGTCCTTCTCTGATCCAGCAGACGGGTCCGGTCCCCTCCATCGAACCTGGGCCAACCTTACTGACTCACTTGTAATCCAAAGAATGCAGTGTAGGCAACACGGTGTGACGTCCAAGACCAGGTCGGGAGAAGCCATACAGTTTTTGCCTTGGTCTTTTGGGACATTCGCTCTCCACCGGCTCTCCCTCGGAACCTTGCCGCCACGTTGTGAGGAAGCCCAAACGGTCCCACCGGCGAGGCCACGTGACAATGGTCCCGTCACAGCGCCAGCCGACAGCCAGCACGAGCCGCCAGACGTGTGAGCGGAGACGCCTCTGGACGTCTGCAGCCTCCAGCATTCGAGCCAAACTCAGCCTTTCAGTCTTCTCCTCGGGGACCCCAGACATCACGAAACAGGCCAACCATCCCTGCCGTGCCCTGTCTGAATTCCTGATCCCAGAAATCCTGAATGGAGTCAAAATGGTTGTTTTCTATCACCGAGTTTGTTCCGCGGCAAGAAGTGACTAGAACAGAGCCCCACCTTCTGTTTCTTCTTCCAGGATTGACGGTTTTCTTTCTGGCTCTTCTCTTCGCCGGTCTCTGGGGCCGCCGACACTCAGTTCGACTAATAAGCCGTCCTCCGGGCTTGACCAGATTTATCCCTGTGGATCTTTGATGGGACGCAGCCACATGTGAAAAGTGCCAGACCGTGTACAAAAATAGAATTCTGACCCGCGGCCTGCAGCCAGCTGCCTGGGAAACCAACCCTCCGACACAGCGCAGGAAGCCAGGCTGCTGTAGGAAGCCGGGTGTATTTCTAGTTCAACCCAGGAAGCTAAAGGGTAGTTTTGGTGACAATCAGCACCAAATGGCCAGGACTTGGTTAATAACTGATAGCTCCCCTAATTCTTGTCCCTGCTTCTAACTTAGGGCCAACCAGAGGCAGCTAAACGTGGACCCTCACGGATCACACAGGACTCCCGGCTTCTAGGCAGCCCACCTGCCCCTTCCCCACGCCGACAGCCTCCGATCAGGGCACATCTGAGCCTCCCCTTTCCCACCGTGATGATCCCATTCCCCTGCCTGCATTTAAGTCTCTCGACAACCTGCTTTGCTTTTCTCATTTGCTCGTCTTTGTCCATCTCCACAGCTTCAAAGGCAGCAGCTCCCACAGATTTGTCAAAGCCACGTGCACAACGAGCCTGTGGTGGGAGGTGTCGCTGGGGCCCCCATTTCACAGACGTGGAAACGGGGGCTCTGGGAGGTGTGGTCTTCTGCTGAAGGTTGTATTGCTGGCAAGGATGAAACCCCGCGACACCATCTGGGATGAGTTACTTAAACGCTCTGTGCCTCAGTTTCCCCACCTGTATAGTGGGGATCGTCACGCCGTGGCTGGTAGAATGCAGAAGGTAAATGCGTGTGAAGCATTCCGCACATGGTCAGTAAAGGGGAGTCGGGCTCTGTAATTAGCCGCCTCGGGTGTCAGAGGGCCCAGAAGGATTTGAGGAGCCCGTGCAGGTTGCTTGAAGGCCCCAAATCTCCCAGACCAGATTTACAGGACAATAGCCACCCGCTGTGAATGACTGCCAGGGCAGTTCCCCGCCCCCATAGCTTGCTGTTCTCCGTGGGGACCCCTCGGTGCTCCCCTGGGCGTCCCTGTGAGGATCTGAGGAACAGCCAGGTGGCAGAGGGGCCAGGGGCCCAGACCCGGCTGGAGCCTCGGCTCCCCCGGCCCAGCGGCTGCCTGCAGGGTTCCTGTGGGGATGGAACGAGGTGAGGTTGGCAAGGTGCGTAGCCTGGAGGTGCCTGGCATGTCATTCGTGCTCCCCGGATGGGAGACGGTGGGACGGACACTTAGGACGAGCACCCTGCACCGGGCACCAGGGGATTCCTGGTGAACAAAATGAGAATGAAGATCTGTTGTGGTTATAAAATAGAGACGGCAGGTGCTGAGTGCTGGCTCGTCTTCCCAGCCCTGATCCCCAGGCCCCAGCTCCCCATCCTGTGTGTCCTGCGTCCCATCCCCGTGGACAAGGGGTGGACGCTTGACACCAGGGGAGGCAAACCTCAGGCCAGGCTGGGCCAACCGGATCCTCTCTCCTTCTGTCTGTCTGTCTGCCTCTCTCTCCCTCCAGCTCCCTTTCTTTCTGTCTCTGCCTTTGGAAGAAGACATTCAGAATAGGCAAAGAATCAGCAACAATCTTCCTCAAGGACAAAGAGGAAGATTGGCAATGGATGTTAGCTCAGGGCCAATCTTCCTCACCAAGAAAAAAAGAAAAAAAAAGGAATATGCAAAGAAGCCTTGGCTGGCACCCTGCTTAGTATGGGCCTCTGAGGGTCCACAAGGTGCCCCCCACTTGGAGCCAGTTGTAAGCCAGTCCTTACAGTCTGAGCCTGTGGTGCCGGCCTCCTGGGGTGCTCCTGCTTGCTCTCCTGCCTCACTCACGCTGGCCTCCTACCAGCTCAGCTCATGGGCCCCACAGCTTCCTGCCACAGGCCCTTTGCACAGGCTGGGCCCTCAGCCCGAACACCTCCCAGACCTCCTTTCCCCTCAACTTAGCACTGCTGTCATTCAGGCTCGGTTGAAGGATCGCTTTTCCAGGGCACCCTCCCTGATTCCCCGGACGGCTCTGCTATTTACAATCTCATAATCCTGTGCTTTCCTTTCCTCCACAGTCCTGTCACTGGTCACAGTGATCTATTTTTGCGTGTGTGGTTATTTAGTTAATATCCATCTCCCCCCCTGGGCCGTGAGCCCCTGGAGGGCAGAGTCAGGGCTGCCTGGGTCCCCGCTGTGTCCCCAGCCCTGCTCAGTCCAGGCCGGACTCAGAGGAGGCTTGAGGAGGAGGCCCTTGGGGAGCATTTGCTGAAAAAATGAGTAAATGAGCAATTTAGCACCTGCAGAGCCCTGCTCTGCCACGGGTCGATGAGGCGCCGCCTGACATTCAGGAGGTGCCTTAACCACCGAGCCTCAGGTTCCTCCTGGATAAAATGGAGACTCTGCCCGTCCTGCGCCCCGTGGGTGTTAGGCTGTGAATCAGATCCTGCCCCGTTTTAAACCCTCTAGTGCCTTCTTGTTAGCTTCTCCACAGCCTACAGGCCTGGCCCCTGTGTGCCTCTCAGACCCTCCTCCTAATACCCACCTTGCTCACTGCCTGACAGCCATGGCGTCCTTCTTTCTACGCTTTGAACACATCGAGCTAATCCTGCCTCAGGGCCTTTGCACTTGCTATTTCCTCTGAAAGGAGCTCTTGCCTCACTGAAATCTGCAGGGCTCCCTTCCCTCCCTCAGCTCAGATGTCACTTCTTCAGCGAGGCCTCCTTGATGACCTTCCATCCCAGATCACATCATCCTGGTTAAATTTTTTTTTTTACTGGGCAAGTCATAACCTTCCTGTGCCTCAGTTTCCTCATCTGTAAAATGGGTCTAATAATATCACTCACCCCCGCCAAGCCTGCAATAAGGATTAAATGAGTCACTATAGGTAAAGCTGGCACATGACAAGCACTGAATAATGTTAGCTATGACTATTATTGTCACTGTCTCTCTCTCTGAAACACGGTCTTAATTTATGATTTGCATGTTCATTGTCAGCAGCCCACATCGGAATGAAGGGAGGGAGATTTTTTCCCCCTTTCTCTGCTTTGAAAGGAAGTGGTCAAGCTCCCAGACTCTGGCACGGTGATTTCATGGCTCAAATCCCAGCTCTACCCCTTCCTTTGCCTCAGTTTCCCCATCTGTAAAATGGGGATGATGATGGCGTTTGTGTCGTGGAGCGTTTTTGTTTTTTTTAAGTTTTCATTATTTACAGTATTTGTTTATTCAACAAACATGGCTTGAGAATGTATCATGTCTCACACTGTGGCTGATGAAAGGATGTCGTTAGTTCCATGGAGTCAATTCCGACTCCTGGTGACCCGTGGACAGCAGAGCGGAGCCTGCCTGGTCCTTCTGGGCCACCCTCTCCCCTTCCAGCGCTCGATCAGACACTCCCTGCTGCTGTTTATAGGGTTTTCATGGTCAATTTTTTCGGGAGTGAGTGGCCAGGTCCTTCTTCCTGGTCCATCTTAGTCTGGAAGCTCCACTGAGACCTGTTACCACGGGGGACCCTGCTGGTGTTTGAAATCCTGGTGACACAGCTTCCAGCATCGCAGCCACACGTGGCTGCCACAGCGTGACAACCGACCGACAGAAGGGTGGTGTGGTTCCCTGACCGGGAGACGAACCCAGGTCGTGGTGGTGAGAGCCCCAAATCTGAACCACGAGCCCCCCAGGGCTGGTGATAAAAGGATGACCATGTTCTATTTCTCTCACTTTGAAGAAATACTGTTCTCATGAGACCGAACTGTGAACTGATGACTTAGATCACACTGTGGACATCACACAGGTCAAGGGCGAGCAGAGTCCTCGGGGCACAGACGCGCTGAGTGACAGGTCAGCGGGGGGCGTTGAGAAGTGATGGCTCCCCCCTCGGCTTATCAAGATATAATTGGCACGTAACGTTTCATGGAGTTTGTAAAGATACAGATGAGTTCACAGAGGGCAGGGGTGACATTTGGCAACGTCTGGAGACATTTTTAGTTGTCACGACTGGGAGGGACCCTGCCAGCCTCTAGAGGGCAGAGGCCAAGGATGCCGCTAAACATCCCACGGTGCACGGAACGGCCCCCTACTCAGAGGATGAGCCAGTCCAAAACGTCAATAGTGCCCGGTGGAGAAACTATGCTCCAGGGCCAGTGTTCAGAACACTTGCTAGGGGGGCCAGCCCGGTGGTACAGCAGTTAAGTTTGCACACTCTGCTTCGGTGGCTCAGGGTTCACCGGTTTGGATCCTGGGTGGGGACTACACAACGCTCATCAGGCCATGCTGTGGTGGCGTCCCACATAGAAGAACTAGAATGACCTACAACTAGAATATACAACTATGTACTGGGACTTCGGGGAGAAAAAAAAAAAAAGGAAGACCATTGGCAATTGATGTTAGCTCAGAGCCAATCTTCCTCAGCAAAAAACAAAAACAAACAAAAAAAACCACTCCCTGGTCCAAGAGATGTTGACTATTGTTCTTGTCCACCCCCTCATCTCTAGTTTCTGCCCAAAGTGGATTCATCAATAAATACTTGACTTATGAACATAAAGATTGAATGATGCAGGACCAGGCACAGCATAGGGGCTCAATAAATATTTCATTAATTAATGCAGGCAAGGAGTAAATGAGACGGCGCCTTCTCCAGGGCCGGTTTGGTGTCTGGCTCAAGGTAGGCATTCAATAACATATCATGAGTTAATGCCGGTGAGGAGTAAATGATGTCCCCGGGGCCGGCACGCAGGAAGTCCTCAAGCAAGGTGTGTTGGGGGGACGAAGGAGAGGATGGAATGGGGTGTTTGCACAGGGTCCGGCATGTCGTAGCTGCTTGCGATACGTCAGCCGCCCCACTGCCTCCCCCAGCGCCCACACTCACCGGCCACCTGAACCTCAGTCTTGGCCCGCATGGTCCAGGCGGGGTTGACGGTGACAGCGACCTGGTAGGTGCCGCTGTCACCGGGCTGGGTGCGACGCAGCAGCATGGAGCCGTTGGGGAAGCCGACGATGTCTCGTTGCCCCATGGCGCTGCCGTCCCTCTGGGGCCGCTGCAGCCCCGGGATGTAGGTGAAGAGCCTCGTGCCGCCGTAGGCGTCCTCCCCCAGGTACCAGTTGAAGTCCTGGAAGGTTTCTGGGACGCCCTGGACAGACAGGAGAAGATCCTGGTTCTTTTGAGGGTGCTCTGGAATCTTCTGGATGTGGAGGGCAGCCCAGGAGCCTTGGGGGGCCCAGAGGACCAAGATGGAGGCTGCGAGGAGTTACAGGGGAGGCCTGAGATCAGAGATGTCAGACGGGGACCACGGTGTTCTCCTCCCTATAGGTTCTCATCTGGGGGCAAGGACTCTGCATGCTGAGATTGATTAGTGATGTCTGCCCTGGGTACAGGAGTGGGAACCCAGGCACAAATGCCACAGATTTGCCATCCCCTTCCTTCAGAAGGTTTTTCTGCCCTGAGATGCCATGTGGCCCGCTTCTAAATACATGGACTCTCTGAATTCATCCATCCATTCATTCATCTAACCAACGATTATATGCATATTTATTATTTATGCCATAATATCAATTGTGTATATGATATGTCTAAAGTTTTCCAGATTTCTAGGCACTGGGGATACAGCAGGCAATCAAATACAAATAAATTCCTGCCCTCATGGTCCTTACATTCTAGAACATTCCGTAGGTAAAATGGGGATGGGATTGTGATTCTGCTGCCCCCCCTCCCCCCGCCATCTTACTCTCATAATTTTGTCTTTCCTGACAGTCCCTCTCCTCTTCCAAGAGGAGACCTCAGCGTCCTGGCTAAGTCCCACCTTCTCTCGGAGGGTAGGTTTCCTCCTTACCTGAGAGCAGGAGGCCCTTTGAGAAGCAGCACTGGGCCCCCACGGGAGTCTCCATCTTGGCGTCCTGTGGAGATACCAAGGGGTCACCTGCTGGGCACGGAGGGGGCCCGAGGGCTGGGCCCTGGCTGTCTGCAGTGGGCCAGCTCAGCGGGAACCTTGGGGGTCCCTTGGAGACATGGCCGAGGCCGGCCGAGCCCCAGCGCCCACTTTCCACAGGCTCCCGAGCTTCGCCCGTGCTGCCCGGGACGGACTCAGACACCGGCTGGACCAGTTTTCCAGGGTGGCTGTGAACTCCTTGGGGCTTCCTGGACTCCCTCAGCCTCTCCTTCCCACTCGGATGACTGGCAGTAGCAACAGCAGTAATTAGGACAACAGTCCGGGCGGCGTCTGGTTGAGCAACCCCCACAGGGCAGGCAGGCCCGACACGTGCCACCTTGTCCAGCATCCACCGTGCAGAACTGTTCCCACTTCACAGATGGGGAAGCTGAGGCTCAAGGAAAGAGGCAAGTCTCCCAGTAGGTGGAGATGGAAGTTGACCTGCGGTGGGCTCCCTCCAAAGCCCTTAGCATAGTTTTTCAAAAGCATCCCTTCATTCATTCATTCATTCATTCAGTCAGTCATTTCAACACACACTCCCTATGCGTAGCCCTGAGCTGGGAGGTGCTGGGGAGACAGTGATGATTGGGACAGCTCCATCTGGGCCCTCAGGACACAGTGGGGCTCACAGTTCTCTGTGCGGTGGTGGGGGACAGACCCATCCCCAGATAATGATGATCCAGGGTGACCAGCGCTGGGAGGGAGGAGGTGGGGGGGGCGGGGCCTGGGAGGTGTCTCACTCAGCCTGAGGGCAGGGAGGGCTTCCTGGAGGAGGGGATGTCTGAGACCTGGAGTAGGATGAGGCAGATGGTGGGGTGGGGTGGGGTGGGGTGTTCCGGGCAGCGTCAGCAGCACATGCAAAGGCCTGGAGGCAGAGACGGCCATCGAGGGGCGTTGAAGAAGCTGCAAACTCCTGGCCGAGTGGGAGGGGATGTGCGGGGGTGAGGCTGGAGAAGCAGGAGGGCTCCATTGCGGTTTTGTTGAGCCGGGGCCTGGGTGATGGAGGGTCCAAGGTTTTGCCAGTACCATAGCCATGAGCCATGTACGCCTATTAAAATACAAATTTAAGTTAATTAAAAGTCAATGCCTTAAAAACACTGACTTCCTCAAACTAGCCACTTGTGAGTGCTCAACGGGCCCCCCGTCTCGGGACCCTGCTCGAGGTTATTTTCCCCGGAGGTGTTTCCCATCCCCCACTTCCGAATGGTCCCTAACGCCTGGAAGGTTCCATGGCGGTGTTCACGGGGTCAGAATCCCTCCAGGATCTACCCTCAGTCCTTCTTGCTGCAGTTTTCAGACTTCCTCTGTCTGTCTGCCGAAGAGAGGCTGTTGCCAACCCTGCAATTATTTCCAAGAGTAGCCGCCCAGGGGAGAGAGCCTCAGTTTCCCCACACGGTCCTCGTTCTGATGGGAATTCCGTATGCGGCAGGAGCGGAGTTCAGCCCTCAAAGGGATTCTGATGGGATTCTGATGAACCCCAGGAGCAAAGGCTTTGCCAGCAGCGCGAGGCAGGGCATGGAGCAAAGCCGGTTATTCTGGATTTTCCAGTTCCTAAAGCTTCTCTCCCCCTCTCTCAAATAATGACTGATTCCTTTTGCGTTACTAAAAGAAAAGTCGAGGTTTATTAGAGAAAATTTAGAGAGTGTGGACTCAAAGTAAGAGCGTAAAATTCAACCCTGTTCCAACCACGCAGAGAGAGTCACGGCTCATACCAGAGAGCCGGGCTCGCATCCTCCGACCTGCAGCCTTCATCCTCCCCAGCCCCAGAGGGCAGCCCTGATTGGTCCAGGCCTCCCAGGCGGTCCCACTCTTCTGGCCAGGGATTGGTTGAGCGATGGGCGGTGCTGGCCAATGAGACGCGAGGAGAGGCTGCTGGGGAAGCTCCCCGGGGATGCAGCGGGCTGTTTCTCTAGGTCTGGATCCGGCTGTGATGCTCAGCACGCAGCAGCCGTCTTGGCACCAGCCTGAGGAGGATGCCAACCTGTGGAGGAAAACAGAACAGCAGAGAACCAGAACCAGACCATCCAGTTTTTGGTTTTTAATCCCAGCCTGGGGAGTGGGGGTGGGAGGGGCTTTCTGCTCTTGGCCCCTGAAGCATCCTCGCCACCACGTTTTTATATACTGACGGATTCTCTCATTGACTGGACCCTGCTCAGGTTCTTCTGAATTGTTTTCCCACTACCCCCGCCTTTGAGATTTCTGTGCTCACCTCTGCGTTGTTCGATTTTAGCAAGAATCCTCCTGAGCCAGTTTAACCAGAACCCCCTACCCTTGATATGGAATCATCCTCCATATCTGATGGGATTCCTGACCCTCCACCAGGCCCCGGATGATGTCTGATCACCCTGGCCTGCCTCCAGCAAGATCCTGTTAGGTTGGTTTAGCCAGAATCCCCCCTTATCTTTGATGTGTCATCTTAGTAATTTTCCATCGACTGACTCCACTCTGCTCCTTGGCTAGACATCCCCACGCGCCCGTGCCTCTTCAGAGCTGAGCCCCAGCTCGCTCCCTCGCCCCAAGACCCCACTGCGGTGGTCCCTATACTCTGGCAATGCCCCTCCCCTCGAATAAAGCCTGCCGTCTCGTGCTTCAACAGGTGCCATTGAGTAATTTTTGTCTTTACCACTTAGAATATTATTTTTTCCTTTAACAATTCACCCATTCGTCCCTTCATGAATTTAACTGGTTCCTGAAAATCCTGCCACAGAGAGTTGGGGAAATGAAAACACTTTTTTTCTATAAAAATCTTAAATTATTTTTTTTCGTGGTGAAACACACATGCATTTACCATTTCAACCATTTTAAAGTGCACGGTTTAGTGACATTTAATACGCTCATGGTGTTGTGCAACCATCACCTCTGTCTAGTTCCAGAACATTCTTATCACGCCAAAGGGAACTTTGAACCCATTAAACAGTCACTCCCCACTCCCCCTCCCCCCAGGCCCTGGCCACGACTAGTCTGCTTTCTGTTCTATGGATTTACCTATTCTGGACATTTCATGTAAATGGACTCCTACAGTATGTGGTCTTTTGTGTCTGGCTTCTTTCACTCAGCAAAATGTTTTCAAGGCTCTTCCACATTGGAGCCTGGAGCAGCACCTCGTTCCTTTTTATGGCTGTATAATATTCCATTGTATGCACACACCCCATTTGATTTATCCGTTCACAGTGGATGGACATTTGGGTTGTTCCCACTTTTTGGTGAATTGGGCTGCCCTGAGCATTCGGGTCAAGTCTGTCCGAGTTCCTGTTTTCTGATTATCTACCAGGGAGGGGACTCCTGGGCCACTTCTTCATTTTTTACTAAGCTGGATTTCAGTAGCACAGGCATCTCCACCCCCCCAGAGCAATCTGTGGCCCGGAGGTTTCTGAGATGTTGCAGCAACTCAAGGCGGCTTGCGCCCCCCTTACTCTGGACAGCAGTGCAGGGGGAGGGTTTGGGGTGGTTTTAGCCCCTCCACCGTCTCCATCAGAGCCTCCCTCCCCATTCTCCCATATGGGTAATGGTGGTTTTCTCCACCTTATGTGAAATTTATACAACACTTGTACCAAAACTCTGTCTCCTCGCTTGGCTCCCAGCGCCATGGAATTCACAGATCCGTCCCCCCCAGACAGCTCGTCGCACCCATGGCTGGTAGGAACCGAGATGGCCAGGACTTCTCTGGGGGACCGTCTGTCAATATCCACCACAACGACAGGGGAACACGCTCTCTGATCCAGCGGCTGCACCTCCAGAGTGTGTCCCGATACCGAGGCTGGGTGTGCAAGGTCATTCACCATCACACCGTCACAGGAAAAGGGCAGAAACGATACAGAAGTGCGTCCACAGGGACCTGGTCAAAAACGTCCTGGACGTCCCCCTCTGGAGTACCACATGGCTCTAAAAAGACTAAAGAGACTCTCTCTGAATTTCCAGAAACCTTCAGTAACGAAAGCAAGGTGCAGAACAGTGTGTATATGTTACCTACCATGGGAGAAAAAAAATATATATATATATTTGGTGTCTGCGTCAATAAACTTGCCCGAAAGTAGTGCCACGGTTCTCCTCGGTGGAGCAGGAGCCCAGGATGGGAGAGGCAGGTGGAAGAATGGGTCCCCTAAGACATCCAGGTCCTACTCCTGGAACCTGTGAATATGTTCCCTTACATGGCAAAAGGGACTTTGCAGACATGGTTAAGTTAAGGATCTTGAGTTGGGAGGTTACCCTGCACGGTCCCGGTGGGCCCTAAATGTAATCACGTGTCCTCAAAAGGGAAAGAGGGAAGCAAGGAGGTCAAAGGAGGAATGAGGCCCTGGGATGCTGGGCTGTGAGCCAAGCAATGCAGGCAGCTTCGAGAAGCTGGAAAAGGCCAGAAAGGATTTTCCGCTGGGGCCTCCAGAAGGAACACAGTCCTGCCCACACCTTAAGTTTAGCCCTGGAAGACTCACTTCAGATTTCTTTCTTTCTTTTTTGGTGAGGAAGATTGGCCCTGAGTGACCATCTGTGCCCATCTTCTTCTATTTTGTATGTGGGATGCGACCACAGCGTGGCTTGATGAGCCGTGTGTAGGTCCGCGCTCGAGATTTGAACCCGCAAACCCCAGCCCGTGGGAGCGGAGGGCGAGAACTTAACCACCACGCCACTGGGTGGGCCCCTCACTTCCGATTTCTGATCTCCAGAACTGGAAGAGATTAATTTTGTGTTTTTCAAGCCACTAAGTTCGTGGTAGTACAATTCCCCCATCGAAAGCGTACCTTCTAATGGTTTTTGGTGTATTACATTATTAATTTTTAAAAATTGTGGGGAAACAGAGATGACAAAAAATTTGCCATCTTAGCCCATTTTTAAGTGCACAACCTAGTGGCATTAATTCCACTCAGATGCTGTGCAATTATCCCCTTGCAAAAGAACGGCGCTGGACCCTTAGCTCATATCCGATGTGCAAAGCAACTCAAAATGGGCCCCTGACAATTTTTCCTAACTTTTGACTCGGGGATGCTTATCTATTACCTAGTTAAAAAAATGAAAAAGAGAGAGAAAAATAAGATGCGCTGGGGACTCGTGTTCTCCTTGCCTTCTTGATTCAGGTTCCTGCCTCCACGGCTCTGATTCTGATCCATGAGGTGGCCAATCAGCCTCTCCCCAATTCCCCCCAAAAGACCCCCTCGCACGCAACCACTGGAGGTGTAATAAATAAAGTTTAATGGGGCGTTTGGGGGCTGAGAACAGACAAACGGTCGATGCGGCAGCTATGGTAAGTAGTACCCCCACTCATCTCCCTTGGCCTCCCGACCCCGAGGAGACCCACCGGCCTTGGCGCCCCTCCCTCCTCCTTCCCATCTCTTCCCTGTCCTTTCTGGGATCCGCAGTCTCTCATCTCTGTCCAGAGCGCATCCCAAATCCTTCTTTTTCTTGCAGAACAGCTCCTGCCTGGCTCTCCTGTCTGGCATCGTGGCCACAGCTCTTATCTTCCTAAGGCATTTCCTCCAGCAGACAGCTGTGTGAGCGGAATTCTGGCGCCTGCCCCCAAGCTCGCAGGCCGTCTTAAAGGGAACACATCAGGTGTATCTGAGCGGCTCAGCCTCCGGGTCCGGGGCCGCACCCATCCTGGTCTGAGGGCACCGTGTCCCCCACACAGCATCGCTTCCTCCTTGTTTCGGAGACGACGTCTTCCTTTCCTTGGCAGGTCCCGGCCCCCACTCTCCAGCATTGTCTCGGTCCCAGGACACTGCAGATGCTCTCCTGGGGCCCCGAGTCTCGGTGGGAGGAGGTGTCTGGAACTGACAGCCTCCAGGAGCTGCTCCTGTTCCTCCGATGGCCCTAGGCAGCTGAGTTCCAGCCTCTGGTTCTCTTTTAGTGACAAATCTCGTGACCACAGAGATTTGACAGATACAGAGATTTAGACGCTCGAAGGCCAGAGCTCAAATTCTTACAAAACTTCTCCGGCAGTTGGAACATCCCGTGTGGCCCCCACTATGCAGGAGAGGATTAACTTTTGCCCAAAGAGAGATTTCGTCCTTTGCCCCTGGCTCCCGGGAAGTAACCTTGAAGTCCCTAGAATGTTCTGGCTGCCGGGAGTCTTTGTTTACTGGGGCCATGGACCACACCAAACAGTTTACACCAACAGTGCAATTGATGGTGGTGACCTTGGGCCACACAATATCGGCTCAACCCCTGGAGATGCCGGACACTAAGGTCAGCTACGTGAATGGTCAGCCGAGTCTACCTGATTGACCCCAATGACAACTCCCGAGACTGAGGCTCAGCGGGGCTTCCCTGGCCGCTAGCAAGTCGGCAATACTCTGTGTGCTGTCACACGTCACTGCCGGGAGAAGTGAGCGCTGCCCGTATGACACCACTGGGAGTGGACACCTGGGAGCTCACGCCAGTGTCTCCTGGACCCTGCGGCCCTATGTTGGGGCCAATGAGTCGTTTTCCCCTTGCCGATCTTAATCTCATCCTTTCATTTTAATAAACCTAAATGTGTGTGTAACAGCTTTTCTGAATTCTGGGAGGCCTTCTAAGGAGGGACAGAAGCCGAGGGTGGTCTTGGGGACCCCTGAACTTGCACCCGCTCACTGCGTCGTGAGGTAGAGGGGACGTTCCTGAGGTCTGGCACTGGGAGAGTGGCCAGTGTCTTTCAAGGGAGTGAGGCTGCATCCACTGGCGTGGGGGGGTGGGTTCTCCAGCTGTGAGGCCCACGTCCCCACCAGCTCCAGTCTCTCTCCCACTCAGGCCCGATGCTGTCACCTTGTGCCCTCTGTCGGGGTTTCCTGGGGAGAGCTGGCACCACAGTTCACAGCTGAATAGGAGACAGTCTGGAAGGGGGACATTCAAACCTTAGCCTCCGGATCCTTTGGAACACAATCTTCCTGAGAAGCCCAGGGTGCAGAGAGCGCAGGCCCGGCCCCTCCCCATCCCTAGAAGCCAAGGCAGCACTTCCCAAGGTGCGGGGGGCGTGAGTGGGGGGAATGCAGACCCCCAGGCCCCAGGGCGGACTCCCCCCCACCCCACACACCCTCCTCAGCTCCACCATCACACTTACGCCATTAGCGGAAGGGTTGTAACTGGCCTGACCTGCGGAGACAGGAGGAGGCGTTGTCAGGAATGATGACAATACTCAGAGGCACAGGAGGAAGACACACGGGGGTGTCAGGGCCCCTCGAGCTCTAAGTCCCCACTCTGCTCCCGACGTGGGGAGCCACTTCCCTTGGTGGTTTATACACGTGTCAGACAGGACCGGGGTCTCTTCTTCCCCCACTTATTCATTCTGTTATTAAGTATAAATAAATAGTTATTGGGCACAGGCTTTGGAACCAGATGGAAGGGTTCAGGTCCCAGCTCTGTCTTTCGGGAGCTGTGTGACCTTGGCCAACTGACTTAACCTCTCTGTGCCTCAGTTTCCTCAACCATCAAACAGGGATTGATTCAGCAAACAGGGAATGTCTACTTGGCCCCGGGGGCGTTCTACGTGCTGTGGACACAGCTGTGAACACGACAGACGCAGACTCTGCTCTCATGGAGCTCATGTTCATCATCATCATCATCGTCGTCATCGTAACAACAGCAATAATAATTACAGCTGATATAGATCCAGCAAGTGTGGCTTAGAAGGTGCCAAAGGCTGCACCTGTATCACCAGGCACAGTTATTCCCCTTGCACAGATGGGGAAACTGAGTCACAGAGCGTAAGTCACCCGCCCATAGCGACATAATTAATAAGGCAGCAGAGCAGGGGCCCACATCCCCCGGAGATGACACATTCAGCAAACACTTCCTCCAGCGCCTCCTTCGAGACCGGCCCAGCGCCCCATGGTGCTGGGGACGCAGCTGTGACTGTGACGGCCGCAGCTGTACCCTCCTGGGGCTCCCAGCCCACTCGGGAGACGGGCAAGTCCCCACGTGGTGACGACCCAGAGTGGGCAAGGCTGGGGTGGGGGAGCCCAGAGTGGGCGCTTGGCTCATCCTGGGGGGTCGGGGTGGGCTTCCTGGAGGAAGGGGTCTGCAGCTGGGATGTGATGGGGCAGTTCCGTGTAGCAGGTGAGGGAACAAGCTTTGAGGTCAACAGAACTGCCTTCCACTTCTGCCTGCCCAGCTGTGCACTGGCAGGCAGGGAACTTCACCTCTCTGAGCACACACTTCCTCATGTGTAAAATGGGGTCATGTCGGGACCCGCCTTGCAGGGGGGCTAGGAGCCTTGGAAGAGCTGTGCACAGACCGTGCTGGCCTGCAGGAAGGGCTCAGCAAAATACGGCTCTTTGGGTTACAGAATGAGCCGGATGACTTCGCCAGAAGGAGCCACGGGAAGGGTGTTCCAGGCAGGGGAACAGCCTGTGCAAAGCCCCAGAGATAAGAGACCATCAGGCTCTTTTCGAGTCGGGGATCAGGGTCCCAGTCCCCACCCCGTCCTCCTTCCCGTGAGAGCAGCTGAGCGGTTACTCCCGAGCCGGGCAGGCGGAGGAGGGCTGGGCGGCTACGCTCACTCCGCCCTCCATCCATCCCGCGGGGGCATCTGTGTCGCCTGAATTAAAAGCCAAAGTCCCCACTGTGCCCTTAAGCCCTGCAGGATCCGCCCCCACTCCCTAAATATTTATAAAATGAATCAAGGATCCAAAGGACAAGACTCCCCGGTCTTGGTGTCCTCGTCTGTGAACGGGGAACCTCATGGTGTGGGGGTGAGGAGGTGGGGAGAGGCTGCCACCTGAAGGGCTTGGCACAGAGCCTGGCGCATAGTAGGTGTTCAATGATGGCGACTGTGGGGATGCTCATTCAGGACAGCCACGGGGGTGGGGGGAGATGTGCCAAAGAGGAGGGGACTCACGGGAGTTTCTGGACCACAGGAAATAAATGAGGAATGCGAGCAGGGCCACCCCAGCCACGATTACCACAGTCAGGACGGCGATTGTCGTTGGGGACCAGCTTGCTGCTGACGGCTCCCCGGAAGGTCCTGCTGGAAGAGAGGGAAGCAGGACTCAGGTTCTGAGACTTTTGGGGTTTTTCACCTGCCTCACAAACATTATCCCTCATTCCTTTACGAAGCTGCCATTCTGCCTCCCTTAGTCCCTGTGATGGACGTGTCCCCACTCTCTGGTTCCTCAGATGGGACTTTGACCCGGGTGTGGCCAGTCGGAGCACTCCATTCTCCCCGGCTGCTGTGATTGGTTCATAAGGGGCTGTGACCTAAGTTGAGCCAATGAGAGCCAGCCTTGGGACTTTGGCTAGAGCTTTTGAAAGTGGTATATTCTTTCCCCTCGGATTACTAAACTGGTGGGATGTGAGTCTGCAGATGTGGAGGGCTAGCCTGCCTTCCTGAGGGGAGAGTCTGCCTGAGAAGAAAGGCAGCTTAGAGAAAAGCAAAGACAAGAGAGGTAAAGAAAAGTTCTCGGGTTACACAGTCGGAGCACCTGGATCTAACCATACCTGAAGGTGAATTTTCAATAAAATATTGCTCTTGCTTGGACTATTTTGAGTTGTGTTTCTATCAATTGCAACTGACAGAGTTCTGTCTAATGCACTTAGAAAGGCCTTTCTGAGTCCCAGGGAAAGAGGCATTGCACAACTACCCCAGCCTGGCTTTGCAGGGGGGTGCATCCAGGCAGCTGTTCCAATGGTACAGATGTTGAGTTAACAGAGAGTAAAGCTGACCCCATGGGTCCTTTCATGAGGGGGCCTAGGGGAAGGATGGGAGTAGAGAGCATTCCTGTGGCTGAGGGACCTCCTTCACCAGGGACCTCAGACGAAATCCTGCTGCGACCTCCTCCTTTGGTCCCTCTGTTCTCCCCACCCAGGTGGCTCCTCACCTCTAACCAGGACAGTCAGTTCTGCCTGGCTAGTCCCCAGGGTGTTGGTGACACGGCAGATGAAAGTCGTGTTGATCAAATCATCCACTGTATGAATCAGGAGCCGGCTGCCCTGGGCCACAGCAGAGGGTGGCAGGGGACCCCTGGTCCTGAAAGAGACAAATGGGTGAGAAGTATCCTCTGCTGGAGGCCTAGAGTGACAGGGGGGTTGAGCAGTCACCAGATGCCAGGAACTCAGGCACCCTCACAGCACTTGCTCCATCAGAGACGACTGAGCAGGTTGTGCAAGGTGACCAAGGAGGCGGCACAGCCCAGAGGTTAAGGGGACCCAGTGTGGGGCCAGATGCTGATTCGAGAGCTGCCTGTGTGGCCTCGTGTGACCTGGGAAAATGACGGCACCTGTGTGGGCCCAACTGATCTTTGACCCGGGTGTGGCGAGAATGTTGACTGTGCCCAAGTGTGGGGACCACACGGGATGAAGGTAAGTCCTGGGCACTCAGCAGGCACATTGCAAAGAGCAGGCGTGGGCACTCGGACTAAACCACCTTGGAAACCATGTGTGCGGGTTGGGAATTTTGCTGGAGCCCAAAGACGACTACTCTCTTTCTTTCCACTTTCCTGTGCACCCCTCCTCCCTCAGACCCAGGGGTCCAGCCCCCAGCCCCTCCTCCCTCAGACCCAGGGGTCCAGGCCCCCAGCCCCTCCTCCCTCAGACCCAGGGGTCCAGGCCCCCAGCCCCTCCTCCCTCAGACCCAGGAGTCCAGGCCCCCAGCCCCTCCTCCCTCAGACCCAGGGGTCCAGGCCCCCAGCCCCTCCTCCCTCAGACCCAGGAGTCCAGGTCCACCCGGGACTCACGTGCTCCAGTCATAGCCTGTGGGCTCCGGGTTGCTGCGGACGTCACAGCTCAGGGTGGCCTCACTACGGCCGAGGTACCAGTTGTCATCATAGCCAGAGATGGAGACTTCAGGGGGGTCTGGGGGAAACAGATGCAGGGGCTCAGAGACTGGGAGCCTTCAGAGCCACCTAAAGATGTGTGAGATTCCTGTCACAGCAGGGAAAGGCCTCAGCGGGTTTCTGGAACAGCCTGAGCTGGAGAGGCCTGTGCGGCGTCTGCAGCAACGGGTTCACTCCAGGAACAGAAGCCTGGGCAGCTCGGCAGAGTGGGAGACAGCGGGGCAGAGACGGCTTCTCAGGACCTGGCTCTCTCTACTTTTCCCGGGTAGCCAGGGCCTGGTGTTCTGGGAATGTCCTCTGAGAAAAGGCCTCTTGGACCCCCGTAACACACAGGAGAACATTCAAGGCTCTTACAAGTCCCGCAGGAAAGAATTCCTGATGACCCCGCCTCAGCCTGCTGCTTAGCCATCCCAAACATGATTGACAAGGAAGACTTTCCAAAGCCCAGAGGGGGAAGGCCAGTGAGACAGTGTTTTTTTGTGGGGGGGAACCAGTGTACATCCCCTCCTCCCTCAGACCCACTGGCAATGTTGAGGGGGTCCAGTGTAGACAGTGCCTGAGGGGATCAGGGAGGGAGTATTCAGTACAGACAATGATAGGAGGACAGAGCCCCAGACAAGCCAGAGTAGACAATATTGTGGCAGAGGGGGGTGTAGACTGCATGGTGGGGACAGTGTAGACAGTTCTCCAGGGGGATCAGTGTAGACAATGAGGGGCGGAGGCAGTCTAGGAGCGGGTCCCGTCCTCGCTCACACTTTGGCACACTCACGGAGCACGGTGAGTTTCACCGGCAGCTGGACGGGCTCCTCGAAACTCTCGTGTTCCACCTGGCAGGTGACATTCTTGCCGTCCTCCTGGCTTGAGGATGTCAGGGTTAAGAGGCTGATGACAGTGGTTGTGCCGGGCAGGGGTCCCGGCACCTGGCTCTCGTTGGCCTTCTCGTTGAGGGGTGAGGGCCAGGAGATGCGGGCGGGCGGGCGGCCCCCTTTGGAGATGCAACGGGCCACGGGCACGGGCTCCGGGCTGAGCCACCGGCTGAGGGGGACCTCCAGGCTCTCAGCCTCGTTCTGGGGCTGGGCTGGGAGAGGAGCAAAAGGGACGGGTCACTCCTGGCCTGCAGTCACTCAACAAACATCTTGGCAGCCGAGGAAGGCAGCGAACGGAGGGGATGGGACGGCTAGGTTCAAACCCCAGCTCCGTCCCTGAGTGGTGGGGTGGCCTTGGGCAAGTCCGTGCCTCGGTCTCCTTGTCTATCCACTGGGGATCATGAGAGGATCCCAGGCAACGAGAAGATGCAGGCAAAGCTCTGAAAATGGGACTTGGCACAAAATAAGTCCTCACTAAATATTAGTCTTATTGGTTAATTGACAACATTGCCTGGCTCTGGGATGGGCAACGTGGGGGACCCAGGGAGGACTGAGACAGCCCAGCCCTGCCTTCACGGGGTGCACAGGCCAAGCGGAAGACAGACTTCCCCAAACAGTGATGACCCAGAGTGGGCGAGGCTGGGATGGGGGAACCCAGATGGGGTGCCTGAGTCTGGGGGTGTCAGGGAGGGCTTCACGGAGGAGAGGATGGCCGAGCCATGCCCCGGAGGTTGAGGGGGAAGTGACGGGCTCAAGGTCACAGTCATAGACGATGGAGTTGGGTTTTCACACAAGATCTGTCTGACTCGAAAACCATCTTGAGGGGCCGACACCGTGGCCGAGTGGTTAAGTTTGCCCGCTCCGCTTTGGGGGCCCAGGGTTTCACCGGTTCAGATCCTAGGCGCGGACATGGCACCGCTCGCCAGGCCATGCTGAGGTGGCGTCCCACATGCCACAACTAGAAGGACCTACAACTAAAATATACAACTATGCACTGGGGGGCTTTGGGGAGGAAAAAAAAGGAGGAGGATTGGCAACAGATTTTAGCTCGGGGCCAATCTTTCTCACCAAAAAGCACACTTTAAAAAAAAAAAAAAAGATGATGTAATCTAATTCTTAAAGAAAAAAAAAAAACCAAAACCATCTTGACCATCTCTTGTCCACCATTCTGGGGATTCCCTTCCCCGTTATCACCTGGGCTACCGTTTACTGAAGATTTCTCTGTAACTTGACTCACTCCTTCTGTTTTCCTCTCACCCTAAACCGGAAGTCCCAGATTTGCCGAAATGACAAGAGCCGCCTCTGCTTGGGCCCCAGGTGCCCGGCACCAACCCAAGGATCCAACGTTGCGCGAGTGCCTCCCGCAGGGCCTGGAGTAGCTCTGGGCACAAGAGCAAAAGATAGATGCCAGCTCTCAGGAATCCTCGGAGTGGTCTCCATTTCACAGATGAGGAAACTGAGGCACAGAGACTTCTTAGTCTCCCAGAGGAGGGCCTGTCCCGTTCTGCCAGGATTCCGTGACAACGCCAGAGCGCATCTGGGCTCCCGGGGATCAGCGCGGCTCTCCTTCCAGCCTCAACTCTCGCTTCCTCCCCGAGGTCCCACCGACAGCCCACAGCTAGGAGGAGCCCACGCGCCCTCTGCTCCAGGCGCGTCCCCTGGATCAACCCCAGGGAGGCCCCGGACCACGTTCCCAGGGCTGCAGGTTCTTCCTGACGCTCTGATGGAGATGGGGGAACGCGGATCCGAAATGAAGCCACCTGCCCGAGCTGGGAGTGAGTGGCGGAGCTGGGATGCAAACTGCGGTGGCCCCACTTTCCAGGCGCCCCCTCATACTCAGCGCCCCCCTCGCCCCCGGGATGTCCTGCCCTCGGGCTCCAGGGTCTTTACCTCCCTCCACCATCTTCCGGGCCTCCAGCCCCTCCTCCTCTGCACCCCACGCCCCATCACTGCTCTCCCTCCTTCTTTCGTCCCCATCTCTGCAGGGCGCCCCCTCTCTCCCTCCCGGGCGCGCCCCCCTCTCGGCTCGCCCGTCCTCCCCCCACCCCCTGCGCCCTCCCCGCGCCCTCCCCGCCCCCTAGCTCACCGAGTACGCGGAGCCGGGTGCTCGCGCTCCGGCTGCCCTCCGGGAACATCGCGAACTGGCAGGTGTAGTTGGCCTCGTCCTCCGCGCGCAAGTCGCGCACGGCCAGCGACGCGTTCCGCAGCTTCTCGCCCGGCCTGGCGGCCACGAACTCCAGCCGCCCGGGCTCGGGGAAGCTGGGGCCCTGCGTGGGGTGGAAGACGGCCACGCTGCGCGCGCCCCCCGCCGGCTCCCGCCGCAGCCACGTCACCAGCGTCACCAGCGCGTCCTGCTCGGGCGGCGGCTGCAGGTGGCACGGCAGCGTCGCGGTGTCGCCCAGGAAACCGCGCACCTGCGCCGGGGCCAGCACGCCCACCGTCCCGGTCCCTGCGGGGAAGGCGAGGCCGGTCACCCCCGGGCGTCCCCGGGGCGGATGGGGCTGGGCTGGGTCTGCACTGGGGTCGCCCCCCTTCACTGGCCTGTTAGCACCCTATTTCCTCCATCTCAGCATCATCGATTTTTTTTTTTTTTACGCGGTGGTAAATATTGTGGTTTAAAAAAAAGGAATTTGCCATTTGAACCATTTTAAAGTGCGCGGTTCAGTGGCATTAAGGACATTCACGAGGCTGTGCAACCATCTGTCTAGTTCCAGAACTTTTTCATCACAGTGGGGAGGGGGGGAGATTATAGCTCAAGGATTTTGGGTCCCTTCGGCTCTGCTGTGAAGCGTCAGGCAGGCTCCTTAACCTCTCTGATTCTTGTTCCTAGTTTGTAAAATCACACATCTCTCAGCATCTGGTCCTTAAACAGCTCCTGAAGGCCTCACTTTATAGATGGGGAAACTGAGGCACAGAGTCGTTCGCTCCAGGTCACCCAGAGGGGAAATGGCAGAGGTGGCATTTGAACCCCGGGCAGTCTGCAGCCCAGAGTCCTGACATCGGCTCCACCGGCTCCACGTGAAATCCTCCTGCCTAGAGCCCAGGCGCAGAGTAGGCCTCCATACGGGTTGGCTCTTAGTGGCGTCAATAAACACGATGCTGTGCACCCCTATTAGTAACAATAAGGGTAATGGAGAAGGTGGGAGGGGCCAAGCTCATTGAACCCAGGCCTGCCACTCACTGGCTGTGTGCCTTCAGGCAGGTGGCTTCACCCCTCTGAGCCTCAGTTTCCTCATCTGTAAAGTGGGGTGGTTGTAATTTAACAGCGTTGTTGGGAGGACTAAATGATGAAATCTAGGTGAACAGATTCCCACACGCCAGGCACTCGATATAGACGAATGATTCCTGTCCTTACGGGGAAGAGGAAGCTGGGGGGCAGCGGGCAGGGGTGCCGCGTGGCAGGAAGGCACAGTCGGCACAGGGGACTGGGGAATGGTGAACGGTGTAATCTGGGTTCGAATGCCACCTCTACCGTTGATGTGCTGTGCAGCTCTGGGCAAGTGAATCTCCTTCTCTGGTGGTTTCCTCCACAGAGGGCAAGGTCCCCTCCCAGGCAAGGCTGCCATGAGGATGAAATTGGATGAAGTGGCCTTTCTCTTGGTGGCGTGTTCCCCATGGAATAACCACACCAGGCACTGAGCTGTCCCTTATGTGTGGCCTCCTCCGACCCTCCCCACGGCCCCATGAGATCTGCACCCACATTTTCATCCCCCTTGGACACAGGGGCCAAGGGAGCCTCGGAGGGGCAAGCCACCGGCCTGGGCTAACCAGCAAGCGAGCGGCAGAGCCCGGGGTGAGCCCCAGGCCTGAGCCACTCTGTGCCCAGGCTCTCCTGCCCTGGTAGAGGGCGCTCTGCTACCGCTTCCTGCTGGGCGCCCTGGGCCAGTTACTTCCCCTCTCTGTGCCTCGGTCTCCTGGTCTGTCACAATCGGACCCAGGATGGGGATGTCCTTAAAGGGCTTTAGATTGGTGGCTCTCGGTGACCTCCTCAGCCTCGGCACCCTCTTTTCTGGAGAAGTGCCCAGCGTTCTGATGATGGCCTTTGGGGGAAGGCTGAGATGAGGGGCTCCGGCTTCATCTGGTATGGTTATCGCTCCCTTGAATTAGCACTATTATCGTCGTTGCCAAGGGCATCTGACGTTACTCAGCATCTTCCCAAGACACGGTCTTCCAAGGTAGGCAGGATCCCCACCCCCACCCCCACCCCCAGCACTTGTTACAGAACAGAGAGTTTAGGGAACTTTCCTGACCTCACACAGGAATTACAGGCTGAAAGCAGTTCTGAACCCCGGGGCCTTCTGACCTCAGAGCTGGATCCCCAGTACTCAGAACCCTGCCTGACACACAGAAGATGCTCCACAAAGTGTCTGGGATGAATGCATGCATGAATGAATAAATGAATGAATGAATGACCACGCCCTTAGGGCCAGACATTTGGGGTCAGCAGGTGAGCTGGGTTTTGTACCACTGCCCCCTTTTCCCCCCCATCCAGCGCCCTCCGTGCCACAGCAGGAGGACGAGGGGAGCAGCATGAGTCAGCCTCCGCGACGTTTTTCTTGGAGCCTGACTCATCCTTCGAAAATGTCCCCAGAGAGGTTTCCAGGAGACCGACGGGAGAGTCGGTGTCCCAGGTCCTTCAACCCTGGGGCGGGGGAGGGGGGGGGGTGGGGGAGCGAAGGGCAGTGCGCCCGGCCTTGGGGAGGCCGAGGCCGAGCACGCGGCTGGCGGGGAGGGAGCGGCGAGCAGGGGCCGCCCTGGGGCGCGGGGTCACTCACCGGCTCCCGGGGTCGCCCAGCACAGCGGCGACAGCAGCGACAGCAGCAGCGGCGGCCACGCCGGGCGAGCGCGCAGGGCCATGCTCGCGGTGCTCCGCGCGCTGGGCGGCCGGGCAGGGGCGCGCCGCCGCCGCCTCCTCTTGGCTCCTGAACTTGGCTGCACGAATCCCTGTCCCCCCGGGGGCCGCGCGCCGCCGCCGCCAGAGCCCGAGGGCGGGGAGGGGACGCCCAGCTCCTCCGCCTCCTGGCTGATGGCGAAGCAGGAAGGCACCCGGCGGGAGTCCCCGGTGGTGTCTGCGCGCCCTCTGCGCCTGCGCTGGCACCTGCCTCTGACGCCGCCGCCGCCGCCGCCCCGCAGAGCTTTGTGTGTGGGCATCCCGGTTTGATGGGCGAGGAAACTGAGGCACGCGACTGAGAGAGGCGGCGACTTTCTAAAGCTCGCGGCTGGAAGTGACAGAGGTGAGATTCGAACCCAGGATGGGGGACAGATGCTGCGTTCTCAGCCACCGGGCTGTCCTTCCCCTCAGTTTAAACCTCCGGGCTCGCCATAAGAAATGACGAAATCCGGCTATTTGTGACAACATGGACTGACCTGGAGGGGATTATGTTGAGTGAAATAAGTCAGAGAGAGAGAGTCAAATACCATATGATCTCAATCATAAGTAGAAGATAAAAAACAATGACAAAAAAACCACACATAGCATTGGAGATTGGACTGGTGGTTACCATAGGGGAAGGGGGGAGGGCGTAGGCAAGGAGTGATTAGGGTCACATGTGAGGGGATGCACTATAATTAGTGTTCGGGTGGTGAACATGATGTAATGTACACAGAATTCAAAATATGATGTACATCCGGGAAAAAAAACAAAAAAAAAAAAACCTCCGGACTTTGGAGCCAGACAATGGCTGGACTCATATGGGGCAAGTTGCTCATCCTCTTGGGGGGGGAGCTCAGTTTCCTCATCTGAAGAAGAGACGTAATCATAGGACTCACCTCACAGGCTTAAACAAGCCGCCGCTTAGCCAATGCTGGGTGTACGGTTTCTACTCAATAAACAGCAGCTGCGACAATAACAACACTAACAGCTACTATGGCGGCTTTACAGTTATCCTCAAGTAAGGAGGTTGATGAGAATGGTGGTCCATTCAGTCTTCATTCAACACACAGTTAGGGAGCCTGGTGGTATCGCAGGCACAGGGGATGCGGCAGAAAATAATACAGACAGAGGTCCCTGCCTTCACGAAGCGGTGTTCTATCCGAGGGAGATGGGCCATGAATAGATTAATACGCAGAATGCCATCGTGTTGGGAGGTGATAATGGTTAGGGAGCAACATAGAGCAGCAAGAAGGATGAGAGACAGGGAGAGACAGAGAAATGAGAGAGCAATGGAGAGAGACACACACTCAGAGATAGTGCCTGGGAGATAGAGAGAAATAGACACCAAGATGAGAGAGACAGAAACACAAAGATAGAGCGAGATGAGAGGGACACGAGAAGTGACAGATCCGGAGAACTGTAGGCTCAGGTATAAGCCTGGGAGACTTCCTGGTCCCCAGCCTTGGCCATCCTGGCTGTGCCCCCCACCTCGACCCACTAGTAGCATCCCCCTATCTTTCTAGAAAATTCCTCCTTTGGATACTGGCCAGTTTGGAGCGTCCTGTGCCCTGCTGCCCCCTCTGACATGGACCCGAGGCCCACTCAAGGCACACAGCATGGGTGCCCTGCTCTGATCTTGGCGTCTCTTGTCCTGGGTGTGTGTAGGTGGATTTCTGAATGGAAACATGGAGGCCGGTCTCTGGGAAACCTCAGAATTTTCTGGCACCCTTGTTCTGGGCAACTGAGTTCTCTGTAAATCTGGAACCTGCGGTTGCTGCTATGTTCCTCTTCTGGACCATGCCGTCACCCTCCGGGGTTTCCCCCTCTTCCCAGGGCTTCCCAGCCTCCGTGACTCCAGCAGCCTCCTCTGAGAGCTCTGGATGGTCAGAGGCTGCCCCCCTTCCCTGTTGATGCTTGGGCTTCAGATTTGGGGTCCGCCTCACCCCATACTCTGGGCATCTGACTCCTCGGTGATGGGAACAGAGCCTCTGTCTGAAAACAAACCATTGGAGCCTTGGCCCTGAACAATTTCACGTCACGGGAATGATACAGGCTGCCTGCCGCTGAAGCTCCAAAGCGGGGGTCAAGGCAGGGCCAAGGGTCAGGGATGGGGTGAAGGTTAGGGATGGAGACTGAGATGGGATTCAGAAAAGGGAGGGTCTCAGAGATGGAGCTAGGATGAGGAGAGGGTCAGAGGGAGGGGAAGGACTTCAGTGGTTGGCATTCCCGGGCCAAAAAAACCCCAAAGTTGAGTCAATAAATACTTGGGATGCTGTCAAAATTGCTGAATTAAACAAAGTGTCTTCACTCAGGTCTGCTGAGGCTGGGTGAGGACGCGATGGAAGGAGATTGGTGCCAGCTGGAAGAGGTGGGTTGAGCCAAGGTGTTGTCTGGTTCCCCTGGCATCCCCTCCGCCGGCCCTCCCCGCCTCTGAGCCCTGCTGGGTGGCCTGGGGTCTCATTGAAACCGCCCTCCTCTGGTTCCCACAGCTCCCCGGGCTCCTGCACGTGGCCCTTCGCTGCTTGTATTCATTCCATCCATGTTGAGGGGCGTTGAGCGCCCACGAGGGTCTAGGCTCTGTCCCTGGTGCTGAAGATACAGCCGTGAGCCAGAGAAAAGTTCCCTTCCCGCCTGGGGGTCCTGTGCGGGATGGGAGTTGGGGAGAGAAAGATAACAAACACGTAGACAGGTGCGATGCCGGGGGATGGTAAGAGCTAGGGAGAAAAATAAGACAGGGCGAGGAGACGAGGAAGAATTTCTCCAAAATCCCACCTTTGGGGCTGCCCAACACTTCTGACTCTCCCTCTCTTTCTTCCCCAAGGCAGAAACCAAAAAACTCACCATCTTAGGGTTTCTTGCAGCACGTGCAAGAACTGGGTTTCACTAACCGACTTGCATTTGGAGGGGACAATGCGTCTGAGCAGATGTTTTACAACGGTGGCCTGGTTCATCCCATTGTTCTTCGTCTTTGGTCCCCATAACTTCCCGTCCCAGATGGAGCTGCTCCTTCAGCCATGATCGCAAAATGAAGATGATGTGTGAAGAAGAGCCACAGCCGACCTGTGGTCAATGTGTAAGGTGAGTGAGAAATTGACGATGCGAGTCCCCAAGATTGGGGGGTTGTTTGTTATCGGATCAAAATCTACTGAAAGCTGACTGATAGAAGAATCATCTCTGAGGTGGTGAGTTTCAGCAGGGACCTAAATGAAGGCAGCTCTGCAAATGCATGGGGATACATCTTTCGGGCATGGGGAAACAGCAGTGCAAAGGCCCTGAGGCAGAAACCTGCTTGATGACTTGAGGACCAGCAAAGGGGCCAGTGTGGCTAGAGTGGAGTGATGGGATGTATAAGGAATAGTTCAGAGAGGCGTGAAGGGGCCAGATATCATTGGGACATGGTTAAGTTTCCATCTTATGGAGATGGGAAGACTTTAGAGGGTTTCCAGCTGAGGATGTGACTGGACTTGTGTTGAACAGGATCCCTCTGGCTGCCGCGGGGGAACAAGCTATAGGGGGGCGAGGGTTGACGCAGGGAGCACAGTGATGAGCGACTGTAGTGAGCCAGGGGAGGTGACAGAGAAACGTTCCAGGGTGGTGGGAGGGGAGGAGAGAGCAAGTGGTTGGATTTGAATGCATTTTGAAGATTGGATGTGGGGCATGAGAGAAACTTCTCTTTCTCCCCGATGACCCCAAGGACCTGGCCTGAGGGAAGGAGGAGGCACCTTTGACTGAAACAGGACCAACAGCAGGAGCAGCAGGTTTGGATGGAGAAGCAAGTCTGGGTCCGGACCTAATTGCTCGCTTCTGTGTGTCTCGCGGTCAACACACTAAATTTCTTGAGAGTTGGGACCAGTTCTAGGCACTTTTTTTCACTCAAGGGCTGAAATATCTGTTGAAAGAATAAATAAGTGAATGGATAACTCCAGTAGGCCTGTTACATTTCCTTGGAGTTCATCCCATTGATGCTACGGTTTTCCAACTTCTGGATCCAAAAGAATCACCCGGAAGCTGGTATAATTCAGCCAATCTGAGTCTGTTCCTTGTTCTTCCCTCCCCCACTGAAAACATAAATAGTAGCATTGTTCTGCCTCCTTCCTGTTTTTTTTACTTTGCAAGATATCCTGGTGATCTTTCCACAGAAGGACATAGCAAGCTTCCCCACTCATTCATTCATTCATTCATTCATTCCTTCATTTATTCACAGCCGCGCAGCATTCCATTGCATGCACACACCATGAATTTTGAACCTGTCCTCAGGGCATGGGCCTTTACAGTGTTTTCACCTCTTTCTTGCAAACTGTACTGCCCTGAGTGGCTGTGTCCGTGCCACTCCCCACGTCTGTGATGGTATCAGTTCCATACATTCCTAGAAGCTGACGTGCGAGGCCAAAGGGCATGCACATTTGTGCTTTTAGGGGATGTTGCCAAATGGTCATCCAGCGCTCTTGCCAGCAAAGGAGGGTGGTGGCCGTGCTTCCTGCCCACAGACGTTCGTGGTAGTGACCTGAAGCCTTTAACATTTCAGATGCGAAGCTTTGTCCAAAAGGGTCTGATGTAGGAACCTGGGGTCTGGGGGTGGGGTGGGGAGAGGAGGGAGGGAGGGAGGGAGGGAGGTAGAAAGAGGGAGAGAGAGAAAGAAGAAGAAGCAGGAGGAGAAAAAAGAAGAGGAGAGGAGAGAAGACAGAGAGGCGAGAGGGAGGGAGAGGGAGGTTGGGAATGGTGGGGTGGGGGTGGGGGCTCCATCGTGTGACTCCCTTGGGTCAAATTCCAGTTTCACCAATTAATAGCTGGTGATTCTCAGCAACCTGCATGGATACTCTTGCCTCCTTCTTCTCATCTGTAAGATGAGGAATCATAAAAACGTGGTGATGGTTACACAAGTTATTTAGAAATAAGTTATATGGCTAAAAGTTATTTATTTTGCTACTCAACAAATGGTAGCTATTATTATTATTATTATTATCATTTTTTGGTGAGGAAGATTGGCCCTGAGCTAACATCTGTGCCCATCTTCCTCTATTTTGTATGTGGGATGCCGCCACAGCATGGCTTGATGCGTGATGTGTAGGTCTGTGCCCAGGATCCGAACCTGCAAACCCCAGGCTGCCAAAGTGGAGCACGCAAACTTACCCACTATGCCACCAGGTCCGCCCCTATTATTACTTTTTTATTGAATAAATTTGATGTGTAACATTGTGTAAGTTTAAGGTGTATAACGTGTTACTTTGATACATTGATATATTGTAATATAATTGCCGATGTAGCGAACTTTATCACATTACATCATTGTAATACAATATTATGTCTATATTCATTATACTGTGTGTTAGAGCTCTGTGGCTCATTTACTACTTGTTACAAGTTGTACCCTTAAACACCATCACTCCTATCCCCTCCCCCATCCCCTGGTGACCCCCATTTTACTCTCTGTTTTTCATAGATTTAACTTCTTTAGATTTCACATATAAGTGAGATCACACAGTACTAGTCATTCTCTCTCTGACTTATCTGGCTTAGCAGAAAGCACTCAACGTCCATCCCTCTTGTCACAAATGGGAGGATATCTTCCTTTCTCATGGCTGAATAATATTCCATTGTATATATATATAGACCACATCTTCTTTATCCATTCCTCCGTTGATGGACACGTAGGTTGTTTCCATATCTTGGCTATTGGGAATAATGCTGCGATGAACGTGGGGGTCCAGGGATCTCATTGAAATCCTGTTTTCATTTGCTTTGGATATAAACCCAGAAGTGGAATTGCTGGATCGTATGGTAGATCTATTTTTAATTTTCTGAGGAGCCTCCATATTGTTTTCCATAGCAGTTGGACCAATTTACAGTCCCACCAACAGTGCACAAGTGTTCCCCTTTCTGGACATCCTCGCCAGCCCCTGTCGTCTCTTGTCTTCCTGATGGCAGTCATTCTAACCGGTGTGAGGTGGTTTCACTGTGGTTTTGATTTGCATGTCCCTGATGATTAGCGGTGTCGAGCATCTTTTCCTGTGTCTGTTGGCCATTTCCATGTCCTCTTTGGAGAAATGTCTATTCAGGCAGTGATGTCTAATGGGCAGAGAATGCGGTGGGGGTGCTGGTGAGGGCTGAGCTCTCGTGTTCTGTGTTCTGAAGCCAGGCGGGAAAAGGCTGACGAAGAAAATCCCCGAGGCCCCACCCCAACTGCCTGTCCTTCCCTCGTAACTGCCGGGGGGGCACTTCCTCTGTCTCCTCTCCCTCCAGCCCCCACCCCACATCCCCAGTCCCACCCCTGGTGCTTCACACAGTTGTTCCCCTCCTCTAACCCCCCACTCCCAAATCCCCAGTCCTCTCAAAGCCCAAGAAAGGAAACGAAACCTGCCCTCTCCGGCCCACGTCTACACACCCAGGACTAATCAGGGAGCCACTTCCTTCTGCGGGTCCAGATTCCAGAGCCCGGTTTACCAGCTCCTGGGTGTGTCCGCCCCTGACGGCAGCACCAACCTCTCTTCCTCTCCAGCTTTGCAAGTCAGCAGACGGAAAGCCTTGCAGTCTCCCCAAACAGACCATGTTTGGTCATCTTCTGGCCAGAACACTTTTCCTCTGTTCTTTTTCTGGCTAATGACTGCTCACGCTTTGGTTCTTGGCTCAGCCATCCCCTCCTCCAGGAAGCCTTCCCAGACTCCCAGGCTGGGCCACCTTCCTCTGGTCCCCCCTGGAGCGCCCTAGGCTCTCCTGTCCCGGCCCTGCCCACTCTGCGTTGTCACACCCTCTTACACACGCCGCGCTGTGAGTTCCAATGGGCCCCGGGGCCGTGCAACTCACAGCTAGGCAGGGACAGTTCAATTTCCTCATTTGTAAAATGGAGCTAAAAATAGCTTCCACTTACCAGGGTTTGGGGAAATAAATGGAAATGATGCATTAAAGCCCTTTGATGCAACGTCTGGGAAATCTCACCTGCCAGAGACATAGCTGCTCCCCTTGTTAATCGTCTTACTGTGTTCTCCGGTTCAGTGCACCCCTCCCCCAGGAAGGCCTCCTGGACTCTCCCAGGTGGATCGAGAGCCCCCTCTGGGCTCCTACATCCGAGGTATGACTACTCCGGGTCGTCCCTATTTGGGGATGAGCCTGTCTCTCCAACTGGACCGTGAGCCCTGGGACGGCAGGGCTGCAGCTGTCATGTCACCTCTGGGTCTCTGGTACCACCCAGCAGAGGGCTCCACACAGACCAGGCGCCGGAGGAAGGCATGTTGAATGAATGAATGAATGATGAACGAATGACTTCAGCGATTATTCCATCTCTGGTTGTTATCTGTCCATTAGTCATGCTGCCCGCTCCAGCATATACTTATTACATATTTTATTATAGCATAAACGTGGATTGTTTTCTGTAAATACTGGAATTTAGAGAAAACTTACTCATGAAGCTGTGTGTGTGTGTCTATGAGAGAGAGAGAGCAAGCTCGAGAGGCAGCCTGAGAGTTTGAGGTTTGTTTGAAAGGGGTAAGAGGGGCTGCCCCATGGCCATGGTTAAGTTCACGTGCTCCACTTTGGTGGCCCAGGGTTCACTGATTCGGATCCTGGGTGGACCAGAGCACCGCTCATCAAACCATGCTATGGCGGCCTCCCATGTAGAAGAACTAGAATGACACAACTAGGATATACAACTATGTAGTGGGGCTTTGGGGAGAAAAAAAAAAGAGGAAGATTGGCAACAGATGTTAGCTCAGGGCCAATCTTCCTCATCAAAAAAAAAAAAAAGAAAGAAAGAGGGAGGAGTTGGGGGCAGGTGGGAAGCGGGGAGGGCAGAGGCCTTGGGCAAGGAACAAGCTACCCCCTGTACATGGAGTCTGTAGGCTCGGTGAGGGCAGAGACCATGTCTGTCTGGTTCACGGCTGCGTCTCCAGCATCTAGCACAGAGCCTGCCACCCAGAAGGTTCTCTGGGAATAGCTGTTGGGTGAATGAATGAACCAGACAGTGCTAAAGTAGCCCAGGGATCTTGCTGGGCCTCTATGACTGTGGATCACAGGACACTCTGAGCAGGCCTTGGACCTGGAGTAAAGTCCTTTTGGTCCCTCTCAGGGAGTAGAGAGAGAATGACACTTGGCTAATGAACAGGGGAAGCAAGTATCTGACTGTCTGGCCACCACTCTCCATTCCAAGCTCTCAGCAGACATCAATAATCGATGCAGGTGCTCCTTCCCAGCAAGAAGGCCAGCAGACATCAACAATGGATGCAGGTGCTCCTTCCCGGCAAGAAGGCCAGCAGACATCAACAATGGATGCAGGTGCTCCTTCCCGGCAAGAAGGCCAGCAGACATCAACAATGGATGCAGGTGCTCCTTCCCGGCAAGAAGGCCAGCAGACATCAATAATCGATGCAGGTGCTCCTTCCCGGCAAGAAGGCCAGCAGACATCAACAATTGATGCAGGCGCTCCTTCCTGGCAATAAGGTCAGCAGACATCCACAGTTGGTCAGGCGCTCCCTCCCGGGGAGGAGCATGGATGGGGTCCCCGAGCTCTCAATACAGCTCTTGGAGCCACGGCCAATTTATCACAAATGGCGGCTGAGAAGAAATGTATTGGTCAACCCTGGACAATGGATGTGAAAGACAAGAGTTGGGGAGAGAAATTATGGCCAGAGGTTATAGCTGGAAATCCGCTGTGCATTTGGCTTTTTGCTTATTCACCTGCCCTTAGGTTCTCGAGGCCTTGGCTCGCCCACAAGGACAGAGGGAACTAGGTCAGTGTTCCACTCCATGCTGCAGAGCTTCCAGAGCTCAGAAAGTGTTTCACTTTCTCTCTCTCTTCCATTCATTCAGTCATTCAACAAGTGTTTGTTGAGTGCACTGTTGTGGAAGGAAGACACAGTTCCTGCCCTTTGAGACGCAGAGCCTATTGGAGAGACAGACGTTATCAAAAGATCACCCCAGCACTTCAAAATGCAATTTTTGATGCCTAATGAGAAGGAGAGGTTTGCTGGCTGATGAAACTCAGGCAGGTGTTTACTGAGTTGGGACTTTTAAATGAGTAGGAATTAACTGGGTGAAGAGAGGAGAGGAAAGCATTCTGGCCACAGGGGATGGCATGTGCAAATGCCCGGTGGCAGCAGAGAACTGGGTAAGCACAAAAGAACGAGGGAGACTGGCTAGCTGTTCACTAAACCCATTTCCTCTTATTTCCAGGAACTCCGCTAGATTACATTTCTTAGAAGTTCTCATATCACTTGTGATCCTGTCACCCAGAGCAGGGCAGAGACACAGGCGAGAAGGAGCATGGGTGCCTGAATGACGACACAGAACAGAGTCTGGGTCCCCAGTGACCTCCACTGGACTGTACATGGGTGAGAAACACACTTTTACTGGGTTAAAGGTATTTATTGCAGCAGTTAGCCAACTCTGACTAAAGTGAGAGTGGCTGCCCAGGGGCAGCACGAAGCCAAATCCCCCCTCCCCCTTCTTTGCTTCCACCTGTGGTCGCCGAGCGCCTCACGACAGATACGGCCACCGGGGAGGCACAGAATGCCCGCGTGATGTAGGGAAGTTCCAGTTTTTCTTTACTTTTGTCTCCTATCTGGGTACACAG